AAAAAAAAAAAATATTTATTTTATATATATATATATATATTTCAATATCATTCTGATAAACATCTAATAACCTTTAATGCTCTAATTTCGATCCAAACAGTCTAGAAAAAAAAGTGCTGGCTTTTGATTAGCTGAAAATCGAAGTACACTTATATTAAAACGTCGGCAACAAAAGTGAGACTATTTCTTAAATTGTACCGGTATTGGAAATGTGTCTCGGCGCAGTAGTTTAGGAGATGTTTGATACCTTTTCTTTCACAATAGATTTAGAAGGCATTTAAAACGGAGCATTTTCGTTTGCGAATTCTCAGAGTTTCATTCATACGAGTTTGCAATGTGCAAAATGATCTTCTGGGCACTGGGGAGGGGAGACCACTTTAATACCAAAAATAAGAAAAGAAGAAATTCTCTGGGGAGAGGTCTCCTCTCCCTAGAACCACTCCCCACTAATTAAACAAAAAATAAATTAAGAAGAAAAAAAGAACTTGCATTAAGTGAACACAACCATACCGGTACATAATCAACATCTTTTGAATACAGCGTTGGAGACAGAAGTTGATCTGGGGGACTCTCCGTGACCTATATACCGTGGACCACATCGCCCGCCCACCGCTAACACAAAATGCCGGCCCACCGCTAACACAAAATGCCGGCCCACCGCTAACACAAAATCTACTGAACTTTTCAATTATGTTCTATTTCTTTTTAGTGCGTTTTGTTTTTGGAAGCGAAAGGGATGTGTTTTTTTTTTTCTGAAACTAACAATCTTCTTCCCCCCCCCCCACCCCACAAACCTCCCCCCCCCCCCCCCCCCCCCATTAAAACATCCCTGTGTCCACTACTGTCCTTTACAAACCTTTAAGAAATTCGCCTCCCATGGATATCAAATTACTGCACCCGTGTCAGAAATATTTCACTATATCAGTGGTTCTTAACCAGGGGTACAAGTACCTCCCCAACCTTGAGGTGTGGAAGACCAAAAAATTGTATTCAATGGCGTAGCTAGGGGGTGCGGACCGCACCGGCCGACACCATCTCAGGGGGTGACACCAAATTGAAAGATAGCGTAATTACAGATCACAAACTGATCGGTCTAACCGAAATTCATAAAGGATAACAAATGACACATACATTTTCCAGCCTTGTAACCAATCAAAATGCGTGTTTCGTTAATATTAAAATTTCAAGGTTGATGCGTCATCAATTAGGTTACCTTATTTCATGGTTTGAAACACACCGTTTTGACAATGTTTCATCGCCGAATGAAGTGTTAGGTAACATTTGTAGTGGCAGGAAGTTATTTTTAACTCCTGAGACATACAACGATCCTTTGAAAAAGCTGGGCGATTCTAAGAACGTTGAAGTTTTTAAATACGTTACCCCCTGACCTTCAATTAATTTGTTTTTGTTCTTGTATTTCTTATACTGTGGAAAAAGTTTAACAAGAAGAAATACATCGTTAAAAAAAGGGTTGGGGTGGTGACACCATGAGCTTTCAGGACCGGGTGATACCAACCCTAGCTACGCCACTGATTATATTTGCTCCAATTGCTAGTTGTTGCTGCTTAAAAGTTTTTATGGATTTTGATTAGCAGCAGTCAATGGTGAATTTCATTGGCGCATATTGCTAATTTTTTCCCCTGTTTATAAAAATTTAATTAAAGAAATAAAACTACGATAACTAAATTATTTAATTATTTTAAATTTTATTAAAATGTAATTTATACGTTTGGGGGAGGGATGTTTAAAAGAGAGTGGGCCTGCAACGCTGCAAAAAAGGTTAAGAATCCCTGCCCTAGAGCCTTTACTAAGATACTCCCCACCCCGCGGTCAACCTTTTTTTCCCGCTCTATCCCACTTCCCGTCTCCAGATTTAGCCATAAATTCTTACGACTGTTATTATAACTGCCACATTCCGATTCTCCTACTACTGGGGGGGTATTTAATTATGTCAACATTTTATAACACCCCCCACCACAAAAAATAAATAAATAATTATAATATAATTAAATTTATAAATACGTTTTACTTTGTGCTGATGTACGGTATTATTAATAACTTAAAATTGTAGGAAAAAACATTTTATTACATCTTTAGATTGTTAATCAAAAAGTTAAAAAGTTTTTACATTTAAATTTTATAATGCAGAATCAATTTAAAGTGTTTTAAAGACTAAATATAATTGTTTGTGTAAGTATAAATATGATTATTGTCAGTATAGCTGCTATGATCTTCCCATGGAGTAGGCAGGTGTTGCTCTATAGTAACAATAGGCATCGGGGACATCATTTGGGTAGATTTTGCTAGTTTTATTTAAATTGCTGTGTACTGTGGTGCCTCCAGTAATAAACAATTTAACAAGCCAAACAAGTTTTGGTTTTGTCGCCCCCCCCCCCACTTTCCCTTGAAAAAAACCATGAAATGACGCCCCTGATGGGCCTAGTCTATAGTAGCTGATTATCATTTTCATCTTGTAGAACTGATATACCAGACAAGTCAACATCATCCTTATCTAACTATTCAGCACCTAAAATCGAAGCATTGTCTGAGTGAGCAATAGTTGCCATAAGCTCTCTCAGTCTTTGTGTTGGTAGAGTTGTTATTGAAAACCGATGAATGGGTTTTTTTTTTTTTTTTAATTTTTTTAACACCGTGTACAGTAATGTGTTAATCATTCTAGGGAGTGGTTTAAGATAAAAATGACAGGTGAATAGATGCCAACTTTTGACTTTTCTTGCACTAACAAACTGTGCTAAAATTATGATCAGCCATATGATGTGCACACAGACACACTGGGGGGTGGAGTCCTGTAATTTGATCAGAGGCCATTATTCGGACCTCGCATTCCTACTGTACTGATTCTCTCAGTGATAGTAGTTTTAAAATAAAATAATTATACTTGTTTTGTTTTTAAAATAGTGTTAAAAATGTCTGTAATTTAGTGTTATTAAGTGAAATTCTATACTACAACATTCTACTTTTCATGTGACGTCACATGGCTTGAGTCCCCCCACTCCCCCTCATCACAAAAATCTGACACCCCTTCCCCACCCCTAGACGCGTGACGTCATTTTTGGATGGCCCTTTACTTACACGAATTACAAAAGTTGAATTTAAAAATCAAGAAAAAACACATTTAAATAAAAAACGACAACAAAACTGCTCAAATAAAATCGGATATCAAATTATTCTTGGTCAATCATATATTACACACACAATGTGGGGTGGAATGGGATAAGGTAGGATTGTTAGAAATGTTAATGTTTGTCACTCATGTCATATTCATATCATAAAGATTAAACCAATACTGTCAGAGCCGTCGTGTGACTTTTGGAGACTGATGTTGGACCGGGGCAGTCGCCACGCCCACATTTTTTCGCACGACCAATAGTGATTTGAAACAATAATCCTTCACATAATAGATTGCTTTTCGTGTTTTTAAAGTGCATGTAGCTCTATGGGTATTTGATTGTCATATCGTTATACGTTTTAAATATATATTTTCTTCAATGGTAATGCCTCGTTTTCAGTACACTTTGTGCTCCGGAAGTGAAACTAGTCATTCCAAATGTCGAAATTAGGCATCTGGAGGGTGATAGTTTACTGTTCAGCCTTTATGTATTTTTACTAGTCTGTTAAAAATATTGGTGCTGTATTTCATTTATTAGGATATTTATAGCTTGAGGTACGTATACAGAATACGTAGGCCTATATATATTTAATTTTTTACAATGTTATTAATTAAGACGATGAACTCAACTCTTATATTCTAGGCAGGCCTTGCCTTGCATTTTGCTGCCTTGCTGTTGCTAGCCTGCTAGCTCACACTAGCTGAGATTGAGATTGAGATGGTTTAGACTGATAAAATAGTGAAGTGATGTAGTGTAAGTGTAAAAAAAAAAATGTAGAAGTGAGTGATATAGTAGGCCGATGCTACTAATAATTACTCCGGTCCATTACTCCTTTAACTTTAAGTAGTACTAGTTTTTAGTACAGTTCACGTCTTGTTCTTAGTTCTTAAATCTTTCTTACCCATCACTAACTATCTCACTGTTAATCAGTCTTGTTTTAAATCTTTTTAAGTTCATTTAAATTTATTAATTGAGTTTAACTTAAGACTTAAGAACCCAGTACTCAGTGACTGCTCTTAGTTACCTACTCTTATGTCTTTTTAGGGAACGGGAAGCCTTCTCATGACTCATAACGTTTTAATGTTAATGAGTTAATGACAATGTTATTAAATATTATAGAGAGTCTACTCTTCTTTCACTTTGTGTTCACTATTTTTTTTTTTTTTTAGAATAGTATTTTGATTTAATCTTGTTTTGGTAAATGAAAATGTAATGGAGACATTCTCAGACATGCCATATTTTTTTTCCATGACTGCCATCTTGGTTGACAAGACCCGTGAATTCAGCGGATGCATAATTTTACTTGATGATGGCCGCTATCCCTAAGTCTAAGTCTAACCTGAACCCTAAATCTATCCCTAAACCTAACCTGAAGCCATTCACGGCTTGTCACAGAAATGTACCATGCAAAGCCGGCTGTTTTTTTTTGCCCGTGCAACCAGTGTTGGGGTACCTACCTGAACCCTAAATCTATCCCTAAATCTAACCTAAACCCTAAATATATCCCTTAACCTAACCTGAACCCTAAATCTATCCCTAAACCTAACCTGAACTAGGTACTTTGACACAAAATTTAAATATTGTCTGATTGCCATGAATCATGAATCAATGATACATCATTTTAAAGGGCTAGCTATAAGCTTTATAACAACACCAATGTCCTCTTTCTATTTTCTATATTTTATAGAAGTGGAGTTATGATTTTGTGGGTGATTTTTTACAACCCCCTTCTTTATCTTTGATTTAACTGAAAAAAGTGTGAACTTCTCTCCAAATTTCTTACTTATTTTGCCCAAAACATTTTTATTTTAAAAGATAATGCTACCAAATTTTCAGGAGACATTCTCAAACTCAATGCAATATACAAGACAATAAACAACAAAACTTTTATATAACATCAAGACTTTTATTTTTTTATATATTTATTTGAGGGTATGTTAAAGACATTAACAGAAAATTAGGAAAAATTAACATTTGTAAAGGAAAAAACAAAAAAATAAAATGTTCATTGTATTTTAATGAATTATATGCTTGCGATACATTTTAAACCAATTCCTATATTTATGAAAGGTAAGTAGAAGTCTTTTTTGTTACAATGAATTTGAATGGATAAGATTATAAATAAAAACTACTTATATCATCAATAAGACTAATACGAGCCTACCAGCACCGGGGTATGTGATTAAATTTTAAAAGGTAATGGGGATGTTCTTCCTGTCATTTATATATTTAGACTGCTCTTCAAACTGCTTGCCGCTTGGACTTGTTGATAAATCCATGATCTCTCTTTCATATACTTTGTCTTTGTCCAAACATGCTTACTTGTCGATGGAAGGACTTCTTTAATAGAAAATTAAAATTTTCTCCGATGTCTGAATGAAACCTAGAAATAACATCTAATCATATCCTGAATCTACACAATTTCTTATTGCTTTATAATGTTATTCAATTTTTTTGTTTAGTAAAACTAATTTCTTTTACTTTTATTACATTATAAATATTACATATTTTCCTATGTAAACTGTTTTTGTATGCCTTAAAAAAATAATTGCTAAGATGAAGTTTGTTTATTTGATGTTTTTAATTTATAAGTGAATGCCTTATTAATGTTTTTAAAATAATAACTTAAATTAGGCCTGTAACTGTAAGAGTAAATGCAGTTGTTGCAATGGAATAGTATTATTAGTTTATAAGTAATATTAGTATTGGTATTAATTATTATTATTAGGCTTAGGCCTATTAAAATATACACTATGATATATTCTCTTATAGGAGTAATGTCACTTATGAGAGAATAACATTTATTATTAAGATTATTTAACTATTATTGATTCAATAAAGAATAACGGCTAAAATGTTTAGGCATTCTCTCATAAAATTTCTAAACTTAAATTGATATTATACATATTATTGTACCGGTATAATAGTTTTATGTAAATCAAGGGACAAAACTGGTCAGAAATTCAACAGACTACACAAACTAAAATGAATAAAAACTCTTTTATTTACTGGTTTGTAATAATTTCTAATAATATTGTAAAACTGTTCCCCATTAATTAACTGATAAGTGTTCCACAGATTTTTTAAGATGTACATTAATAGTCATCTTTTTCATATCTTCATATTAAAATATTAATGATGAGAGCCATTTCCGACACCCCAATTTTTTCAGGGGGGATTATTGGTGAAAAACTCTACACTTTTTTCAGCTATTGCTATTATTAATGAAATAAATTTATTCCTCTTTGTTAAAAATTGAAGCTCTTGTGCGGTAAACCTCTATGCTTTTGCGAGTTTGCGTTAAAAAGTAATACTACGAAGTGCATATCGATCCATCAAAATAAATCCTTTGCCACTTACAAAATTCACAATGCTGACAAAAATAATAATAATAAAGTTTATTTGAAAAACACGCTTTATCCCCAAAAGCTTGAAGCGGGGTACAAAATCAACCATATTATAAAGAGAAATAAAAACAATCTGAAATTTACCACATTTAAAAAACAGACGCAACAATATAACACTACATACGAGCATACCAAGTCAAAGTCTTTCATCCCGTTTCAACCATAAGCAACACAGGCCAATATACATTAACTGAAAAAGATGGTAGATAGTAGATAGCATCACCCCAGAAGGTGTTTGCGAAATAGATGTGTTTTTAAATCGGTTTTAGAGGACTCCAGTGTCTGGCTGTTTCTGAGAGCGACTGGAAGGGTGTTCCAAATTGTTGGGCCGGCAAATGCAAAAGTGCGCTTTCCGTAAGTCTCAAGGCGAACACACAGTATTGATATTATGTCACTATCGGATAAGAGGAGCTCTCTAGTGGGTACATAAGGCGTCATAAGTACTTTGAGATAAGATGGCGCCAGGTCATGTAAGCAGCAATAGCACAAAGTTGCAATTTTGTACTCTATGCTAGCGTGGACCGGCAGCCAGTGAAACTCTCTCAGAAGTGTTTTAGCATGGTCGAATTTGCGTTTGCAAAGAACAATGCGAGCCGCATTATTCTGTGCTCTTTGAATTTTATCCAGGCGCGTAGCTGGAAGACCCACCATGAGAGCATTGCAGTAGTCCATATGTGATAACACAAATGCAGCCATCAGCCTCTTTGATGCATCTAACGTTAAGAAAGGTCTGATATGACTAATCCTGCGCAGCTCTAGGAAAACTGCCTTGCAAAGCATGTTAATATGATTTTCCATAGTAAGTATTCTGTCTAAATAGACACCCAGGTATCTCACTGTATGAGCAAACTTAATCTGCATACCTGAGAGAGTAAGTGATGCTGTGTTTTTTACAGATTTTTTTTTCTGAGCAGTGGCAATAAGGATCAGCTCGGTCTTTTCATCATTCAATTTGAGCTTGTTTATGGTCATCCAGTGCTTAACTGACTCCACTGTCTTCTGTGTTGTACTAAGAAGTTGAGGAAACTGAGAGGGGATCACGGATTGATGAAGTTGTGTATCGTCCGTGAACATGTGATACAGCATGTCAAATTGCTTGATCACTGCAACCCAGTGGCTGAACGTACATAGTGAAAAGCATCAGACCGAGCCCTGGGGTACACCGAATTCAATTATAGATTGCTTCAAGGTCAAGCTGTTTGATATCGCAGTGTTTGGAAAAATATGTGCTCTACGTCACTGATGACAAAATAGTTTATTATTAGAAATCTGTGACGTAAAACACAAAAAAATGAGATAATCACAGAGTCAAATGTTAAAATGGCTGCACAAGTTTTTAGCGTTACTTTTTGGTATGCGCAAAACCGCGTGAGGGTGAGACTTTCGGAGACCCTACCTGAACCCTAAATCTATCCCTAAACCTAACCTGAGCCCTAAAAGTATGCCTAAACCTAACCTGAACCCTAAATCTATCCTTAAACCTAATCTAAACCCTAAATGTATCCCTTAACCTAACCTAAACCAAAAATGTATCCCTAAATGCCTAAATATAACCTGAACCCTAAATGTATCCCTAAACCTAACCTGAACCCTAATTCTTTCACTAAACCTAATCTGAACCCTAAAACTAGCCCTCAAGTAAAAAAACACATGTGCGGCTGCAGTTGCTAGGGACCTCGGTATGGCCCGGAAATACCAGAAAAACTGGTATCATGATTTCGTTGTCAAAATGATGACCTCCAGATTTTAATTTACCGAGGGTAATGTTGTTTGGAATTTTTTTTACTGAAGTTAGTTTTGTTAGTTAATTCTAATTCCGCCATCAACTTAAAGCAGACATGTTTGTTGTTCATTTGACACTTTTCTTTTAGAAAAAATGTGATGGTTTGACTTTGAAAATTGAATGTAAATAATAGCTAAAGTCACTCCTTCATATTTTTTGTGTGGAAAGCACATTTAAAAAAAAACCACACTTTTAGATGAATTTATAAATTACAACATATCCAAAATTCGTGAGGCTAGAGCGAACATTGGTAAGATATCTTCATACAAATTTTTTGTCACTTGTGTCCCAAAATTACCTATTGTCGATAATTGACTTTTTAAAACAAAATGACTTGATGTACTTTAGAAATCCAGCAGATTAGTCAATAATAATTCATTTTAAAACAAATAAACATAATTGAATAGCACCAATACTTATTTGTCATATGATCTGCTGCTTTTTAGGGAATTAATTGGGGAATGTGATTAAAATTACAACTTAGACAATCAATTATAAAGTAAATTATAAAATTATAGTAATTTTATTATTATTATATATTACTATATATGTATATATTATAAAATCATAGTATTATTATTATATATTTATATATGTGTGTGAGTCTCCTGTGAGCCTAGCATAGCTAGCCTCATTCCAACTTATTATTGTAGGACCTATGACATATTTTTGTAATGATATTTTTTATTTTAAAAAAAGAAAGATTAAAAAAAAGAAATTCTCTTACCTTTGATGTTGAAATATCCTATATTCACTCACAAATCACAATATTTCACATGATAAATATCATATAATCCTCAGTAATCTTAAAGAAATAACACACTTTCTGCCACAATAATCCAAGAATTACTTAAGGTATTTCTAAAGAACAGTCATAAAAACTTATACTTACCTCAAGTAAATTACTAGAACTTAATTTATTTTCAATCAACTGCCAAAGTTAACTATATCAATACATGATGATTTGTGAAACACCTTTACTAACTTAAAATAAATGACATACTATTTTTTGGTTATATTTAGACATTCATATGATAAGGGACTAAAATGCATATATAGAAAATGGTAAAATAAAAAGTGTAATCGTCAGTTTTAACTAAATGAAACAAATAATACCTTTATTATTTGTTTATGCTTATAAATGTTAAACAATTCCACAGAAAATTTGAAATTAATATCTAAAGAATATTTTTATTATTATGATTTTTGGGAAATTAAAAATAAATATTTAAACAAAATTAATTAATTGAATTCAAATGAGGGACGAGTCAGCATATTTATACATTTTTTAATGGGAAAATAATACATTTTTTTCCCTAAATTTTTGCGTCATATTAACAAAAAATAACTTATATTTTGTGGCTTTATTTAGAAGTACTCTTATTTAACTATGTTCCCTGTAAGTCTTATATTTTTGTCTCATTTTAGAATAAAGTTATAGGCATTAAAAAAAAAAGCTAGTTAAGGGTCAGGAAATGTGGAGGAAAATCCCATAGTAAAAAAGTGCCTTTGAGGTCCCTACTAAAAAATTCATAACTTTTGAACCACTTGAGCTAGAAAGTTGATCTTGGTGTTTTTGTAATCTATTCTCCAGGCTCTATACAGCTGTAGTATCTTTGTATTTTTAAAAAAATGTTTTGAAATTTTAATCAAATTGCCTACAGTTGCACAATGTGGAAAGAAAACTAAAGAAGTGAAGAAAAACAATACAAAAATAATTGTAAAATAAATAAATAATGAAAAGATGCCATCGGCGTATGAATACTAATACATCAAAAATAATTTTCTAAAAATAAACAAAGGGAAGTGACTCCCACACTGCAAATTAAATAATCACGTTAATCTTGTCATTGCATTAGCCTTTATTTTTTGTTATAGAGACCTATACTATAAATTATATGCCAATACAAATATTTCAAATAATATGCTTTAATTCTTATTGTAGTAAAGGGATGTAGTTTGTCAATGATGAGATGTCCCTAATTAATTTTACGTGTTGAAGAAGGATTTGTGAAATAAAAATATTTTTGATACTGATAGATGTGTTCCTGAGATTATGTAGTGTAGTAAGAAGAAACACATTTTGGGCCATGGGAAACGCCTGGATCCGGTAATCTACGTTTTTGTTTTTCCTTAAATTTTTTGTTTTAAATTTACAATTTTTGCCTGTGTTTTGGTAGGTCATGAATATTTAATGAAAATGTTTATTGGTGAACAAAAATGAACATCTTTTCTGTGCATGGTGCAAAAGATAGACTTGCTAATACTCATTGCATTAGAATATTGTGTTGAGTGTTAACTTACTTGACGTCTGAACTTTGTGAAACATGATTATTGAATAATCATTCCTAGACCAGGTGGGCAACCTTTTTACAAAGTAAAATACACCACACAATACTATATACAAATCAGAAAAGTCTACTATTAAATAAGATGAGAGTAAATACTGCCGAAGGCAGCACCTCTGCTAGTTCTTACTATTCTTAATTATTATTATTATGGCATCTTTCCGTCTTCGTGAGACGATGGAGTAGCTATATAGTTCTACACTTTGACGAGTGGCTCACTAGGCCAATCCTTGAATGGCAATCACGGCCGCATCTCTCGCAGGAGAATGTTGAATTCCGGTATAGATTTTCTAATTGTTATTTTTTTATTCAAGGGCCTCGTTTTGAGTAACTTCTGCCTTTTTCACTCCTCCAAACACTGCTGTATGTCAGTAGGAGCGATGTTCGGCAATGAACTCCCATTCGTTTGTTTCAATATTGGCTTCCCTCATGCTTCGTTTGCAAACATCAATAAATCTCAGGTCCGGTCGTCCACTATGTCTTGTCCCCTCTGCCAACTCTCCATACAGCAGAATCTTTGGGATACGTCCTTCCTCCATTCTCCGTACATGACCTAACAGCGAAGGCGTCTCTTGATAAGAAAGGAGAATATGCTAAACATGTGTGCACGTTCCAAGACCTCCACGTTAGGCACCCTGTCCTGCCAACGAATGCGCAAAATGCGACGCAGACATGTTTGATGGAAGCTGTTGAGTTTCCGCTCCTGACTGGTATATGTGGTCCACACTCCGCTACCATATAGGAGCGTGCTAAGCACGCATGCCTGATAGACACTTATTTTTGTTTTATCAGTTAGATTGAGATTATTCCACACCCGCTTATTCGGTTTAGCCATAGTTGCTGCTGCTTTTGCAATCCTGATATTGATCTCTTCATCAACGGAGAGAGAACTAGAAATATTGGATCCCAGGTATATGAAATGATCAACAACCCAAAGATTATGACCCTCAATAGATAACCAACTTATACTTTCAGTGGTCTCTTTTGTATTCTCTAAAATTCCCCCCACAAGATTCCTGCTGCTCAATTGATTGTTAAAAATTATCTTATTTCTAAAACACAATTTTTTTTCTATATTATTATCATTATCATTGTTACAGTTAAAATTTATATCTTTTCAAGAGGGATCTTCCCAAAAGATCACAGTATTTAAATACTTAATATATTTATGTAAAATGGTATTAATACTTTAAAATAAAATAAAGACTTACACTTAGTGAAAAAGGACATTTAGAAGAGGATACAAAATGAAAGCTTTAATAGAGATACAACCAAATAAAACAGGTACATTATATAATTAATTAAAGGCATCTTAGGTTGAGTGAGTTTTAGATGTTGAGAGAAGAAGGAAAATAAAATAAGAGTTTTAAGAAGTGAAAAAATACAAGGAAAGGAAGATTGATAGAAAGTGTAAATTAGCAAACTTAGCAGATTTATTAGTCTGGAGACAGATATTGAAAGTTAATTGAGAGAGAGTTAATGATGGCTAAAGAGTAAAGAATATTCTTTTCAACATAAAGATCAAAAGAAAAATTAAACAAATAATAAGAGGGATTACATATAAAAATAGACTGCAAAAGGAAGATATAATTAATCAGGTATTTTAACCTTCGGTCGGGCGCATCTGATCAGATTGATACAAGCCAATCGTATTTGTTTTGCACATGTGAATGAGTGATAAGAGCAAGCTCTGCTTATTAGTAGCTTAATGTTTTCCTTTCCTTAGTAAGTCAAGACCGTTTAGTGTGCAGAAAATGCCTTCAGAGCGCAAATTTTGGCTGTTTTGATACACCACGCTTTTGCATGTTACTTTTTTGAAGTTTGACAATTGTAATATTTCTTTCTCAGGTAAGTTATTATTTTCATATTTTTTATATATTGATGCATTATTGTATTTTTAAATAATGTTTTTAAATTTTAAATATCAAATTGATACATTGCGCCCAAACAAGATGTTTATACTGATCCTTATAATATTTCAGGTTACTTCCGCTGTCTAACATGAAGGGTGGTAGAAAAAGTTTGATGTTAAGAATCTCAAGCGATACAGAGTGAATTAAAATAATACTTTTTGAAGATGAAGACGTAAAAGTTGATTTTGAAGATGAGGAGGTTGACAAAGAGAGCCATGTGAAATTAGTCAGAAAGATTTGCAGTCAGAAGAATTTGAGGATGATATTGATAATATAGAAAATACTATGGACACTTTTTATTGGAAAAGACAGTGTTATTTAGACGATGTGTTTAAGTCATATTTCCCCCGTGCTGTGAACTCTAGCAGACGCTGCGTTAGTATTGGGCGTGGCCTATTCCCTTTGATCTTGTTTACCACAAACCAATCTATCGCCTGTTTTCTTGACTCAGTGCGGTAGAAAATGGTAGTAAATTGTAGAATGTTCGAGTCACTAATACAATGTGTAATACGCCTGGAATTTTCTGTAGAGCAGACTTTAAAAAGCAGAGAGAGCATTATTTTTTGAGGACGATAAGATTTTTTCTTTACGGGACGACAGGCTGGCATTGATTTTTAGAGTGTGTTATTCTTGATAGAGCTGTGTTTACTTATATGTGTGAATTCCTTTCATCGTTGTACCTTTGTTTGGCACATTGTAATTTTCATCCACTTTTGTACCGGTACAAGAAACACAATCTGTAAGTTTCTGTAAGTTAATGAAAGTAAGTATATTTTTTATTTTGGAATTTGTTAGTAACTTAATAAAACTTATTAATTGCAGTTAGCACTGTTTTGAGTGTCGTATTCTCTGTTATTGTTTTTATCATTTAGCATCGTCTTGTTATGCACTGTTTTGGAACGAGCCTTACATGTAAATATGAGATTAATTTCTCCCTACGGATAGCGGTGCATAACAACAGAGAAACAAAATTGATAAGAATCAGCCTTTAAACAGAGTGTGTTTGAGAATTAGCAATTTAATTAGAGAACTTTAGGAATTATAGGCCCTGCAAATATGGCATGATGCTTGAATGTCTTGAGTTGCTGTTCAATGATGATTATTTTGTACTATACAAATCAATGTATAAAAAGCATCAAGACACAAACTTTCATTAAGAGAGACAAGCATGACCAATTGTACAATTGTAGGGAGAAATTTACATCATTGGCCAATGGTAAAATTTCGTGCATGATAAACACCCACATTATTCATTGTAGAAATTTTCAAAATATTGTTAGAAGAAAAGTGTTTTAAAGAAATTAATCAATGAATAAGTGCTGCCTCAACTTAATTTAATTAGTACAAGTTCAGTTTGTAAACTTAAATTGGATGTCCATCTGATGTCTTTGCTTCTTCTTGGCTGTCTTTTTATTTCATTTTTTTTCCAGAATTATGTGGCCATTATTAAATGACAAGAAAATATTAATTTCAATTATACATGTGTGGTATTTTTCTCACTTACTTTTCCATTTTATATTATTTGTTGATCATCTTATCTAAAAATAAATTATTTTACCATATTCCAATAAAATAAACAAATTTAACCAGTCACTCATTAGTGATATCAATTTGATACACCGCACCCCGTCTCATGAAAAAAAGTGCACCCGCCGGAAGGTTAAGCTTCTAGTCCGCAGTTTGCCTTGAAGCTATTTCCTGCAGCTGGCCAAGTGATTTGCGTCACAAAAAGAAATAAAATACAGGCCGTTTTAATGATTTATGTATGTATGTTGCAACCTTTAGGCCATCAAAGTTGTTCTCAATCTATTCTGGATATCTGAGACATTTGATTTCAATTTCAAAAGCAGCTTTAAGAAAAATAGAAATAACGAGTACAGCAATGAATATGACAATAATTAATGGTAGAAGAAAAAATACAACTAGTAGGCTACAAAGCAAGTAAATAATATGTATGACACTTCAGTGCAGCTGTTTTTTTTAAAGTTACATAACATGGCCATTAGGAAATGTGGGTCAGGATTTTTCTTTAGTTCTAGTGTTCCAAAATTGGGTTATGCATTTGTATATCGTGTAATGAGATTTTCACCATCAGCATTGTGCACACAATTAATGTTAGTGTAACAGTTTGAGAAAGTTTTATTCAGCCGTATTTTCATTCAACTGCTTAATATTTACCTAGAAATGTGAATTCTAGATACTATATTTTTTAAAAATCATTAAATTAATTTCTTGTATAACTAATTATAACTTTAAAATAAAGAAAACTTTTTGGGATATGATGATATTTCAGCTAAATCCAAAATGATAATGAAATGATGTCTAAATTTTCAAAATGTATTTTGTTTATTTTATTTGCGAAGATTTGATTTAAAAAAAATAAACAGCAACCTTTTAGAATGCCTACCATTATAGTGTGTTCTTTTTATTTCAGCTATGCATCAGGCCAATATCTTTGGAATGGTCAAATAATGACTTGAAAGTACGTTAGCTAATTTACTCACCATGAATGGTTTGACTACAGGTAAATATGTGCCGAATAGCCCTATCTTCACTGAACCTTTCAGTAGCAGGTATACTGTACAGGAAGATATTGGCAGGTAAGATGTACCAGAATATTTTTAGTAACAAAAACTGTAAACTCTAACTTATGGGGTTCCTAATATAAAACTTTCTAAGATTCACTGATTTGAATATTCAAAAATGTATTTCAACTGTTCACCAGTGTAATGCTTAATATGTCTCTACCCTATTTGAATTACATGAAATTTGGAATTATAGTGGCTTTTCTTTGGGTAATGAGTATAGAGCAGGGGTGGTCAACCTTTTTGTGCTAAGAGTCACATAGAAATTAGTTTGTTTTTGACAAGTGGCTTTATCAATTTTAAGGGATTCGAGTTATCATTTTTTATGTGAATTAAACGTCAATTTTTTGTGAATGAACGAGCAATAAATGTGTTCATTAAGTAAATAAATTCTGGATAAATTCATATCTCAAGAAGTATTTAACTGAAAATAAAAATAATAACACATAATCGTGCAGAATTGAATAAACTTTAATCTGATATTAAAGGTTAGTGCAAAATCGAAAAATGGCTTTTTGTCATTTTTCTCTGTGTATCTCCTCCCCTTAAGATAATAAATGAACACAATTTTAATAAATTGAAACTAATTAATAATTATAATGAGATAACTGATCAATAGCTACTAAACATTAACCTAGCTCCTGAAATGTTTTACGAGCCACAATAAATGTTTCAGCGGGCCCCTGCCTGTAGGTTGCCCATCCCTGGTGTAGAAGATGTATCTAAAAGAAACTAATATCATAATTTTGAAGAAAAGTTTGAGTTTTAATTTTTATAATAAAATTGGTTACAGTCAAAGTCAAAGCAAAATAAAATTACATCCTTCCTGGCTCTTGCTTTGTTCTTAGAAGACTATGATATGATTTATTTTAATGAAATCAAACAATCTTTGCATTTTGAAGAATACTTTCCCGACTTAAACATTAAAAATGTTTGGCAGTGTTGCTGTCATAGGGGTACCACAATAGCAGAGTGTCACCAGGCAGAGCAAGGTGCCATCAGAGTAAATTTCAAACAGAACATGTTGTTGCTGGATCAGGGGGGCCATTAGAACAGTTTGCCACCAGAAAATGGTGTCATTGGGAAGAGCAGGGTTTCATTAGCGTACATTACAGAGCAAGGTGCCACCAGGGCATTGTGCCATCAGAACATGGTGTTACAAGAACGGGTTGCCACCAGCAAATGTTGCTACCAGATAGCAGGGTGCCACCTGAGTAGGTTCCAAAGAGAATAATTTGTCAACTCAGCAGTATTCCACCAGATCAGGGTGCCACCAGAGTTTAGTGTCACCAGAGTAGACAGGCTCAGAGGTTGGTGAGGAAGTCTGGAGGTGGGGGGGGGGGAAGAAATGGCAGGGGAACAGTCAAAGACTCTGAACTCACTTGACAGTAAACAAAACAAGTGGGTGGTGCTTGAGTCTATTGGTGAATTTTCTTAACGCTCCAGGGTAACCTCATATTCTATGTTTCCATCTTATGTCTTTTGTTCCGTTAGGACTTAATTTACAAATAATGATATAAGTAATTCTGTATGATCTGGTTTGGTTAAGAATTCTCAGGGGAAGTGGGATTCTGAAAAAAAGGGGATGACACCATGAGCCAACCGCACCGGGTGACACCAACCCTAGCGACGCCTCTGAACGTTAGGCAGAGCTATTATAATTTTACTGTATGCAGTCTGCAAGCCGCTCTGCTGCACATTCCTTTAAGTCAGTTACATGGTTCACCCCCGTCTTTTATGGCAAAAAAAAAAGGAAGAGTTTCTTGTTTTTTTTTCGGCATGGATAACTTATCATATCTGAACTTCTTTAAGGATAGGGGTTTTATTTTTTTTTTTCTTTTTTACTTTTTACAATATTGAATAGGGACTTTACATTCCTTTAAGTCAGTTACATGGTTCCCCCCCGTCTTTTATGGCAAAAAAAAAAAGGAAGAGTTTCTTGTTTTTTTTTCGGCATGGATAACTTATCATATCTGAACTTCTTTAAGGATAGGGGTTTTATTTTTTTTTTTCGTTCTTAGCTCTTACAATATTGAATAGGGACTTCAATCTATTATTGCTGTTATATTTTAGTTATCTTAAGTAATATAATTGTAATTAATTATTAAATATAAATCAGGACATAGCATCAGCTAACCTAAGAGAAGACTTTCAAATTTTGGGAAGGCTTAACTTACAAACAGGCTTGTCGTATTTTAATATTTTAGACCTTTATGTCATGCTCTGCAGTCCTGCTAAAGACTATGTTATCCTTTGTTCCTTTGTGTAGATGTCCACATTCGTTAAAAGATTTATTACCCCCAGCATGTACAAATTGCATAATGACATTGAAATTAGGGTTTTCACAAGGTTTTGCTTATAAAATTGTCCTCATTCTTGAAATTAATGAAACGTATATTTTTGTAAACCTTTCATTCCCTAATGGGATCCAGTTTTCCGATGTATACAGGTATCCGGAGAGATCCTGATCCTGGTTGGATCCTGATCCCAGAGGAATCCTGATACCGTCGGTATTCCAATCCCGGTGGGATCCCGATCCTTGTGGGTTCCCATTCCCGGTGTGATCCTGTTTCCCCATGGGATCACAATCTCTGTGGGTTCCCGATCTCTGTGAGATCCCATTTCCCCGGTGGGATCCTCCTCTACGATGGGATCCTGTTTGCCATATTCGATCCCGTTACTTGATGGAATCGCGTTACCATTGGGTTCCAGTTTACTCGTTCGGCTTTAGGATCCTGTTCCTCGTTGGGGTCATATTGCCAGTGGGATTTTGTTCCCGGTAGGATTATAAAGGGTAAGTTCCAAGAAAATCCCCATGAAAGTATAGAAATCAAACTAAATTAATTTTCAAAAAGCTTTTAAATCCCATTTTATATCCCCATAGAGCAATATAAAATTTCTGAAACATTCTAGATTAAAATAGTATTCTCCTCGAAATGTGTAAGAATGAATTTTCTAAGTAATTATTGTTCGAATACTCAAAATTATACTGCTAAATGCACTAATATAAATATAGTAAAATTAAGTTGAAAGAGGGGCTCCCATTCCATAATTATACCGAATTTGTTTTGCCTGAGATGGGGGGCCCTACAAAAATCAATCAGATAAATTAAGAATTTAAAATTTGTCCTGTTAAAATTTATAAAAAAAATGCCTTGGAAATAGCGTTTGAAAATTATAGAACTTTCTGGAAAATTTTAGATTGTATATTATTTGTTATAAATCCACCGCTATATCACATTAGGGTACAATAAAGGGTGTTGCTATCCCATTAGACCTAGCTAGATCCATCAATTCACATAGAACCTATAGTGTTATCTAAGTCTATTGATATTTATATAGCTTATATAAGGAAAAATAATATGGGGCCCCCGGCACCAGAGGAATGGATATTACGAGCTCAGTACCCTTCTGTATTTGAATATGGATAATAAAGTTCATGTGTTCTAAGTTTGGTCAAGATCCATCCGTTCATGTAGGAGTAGGAGTATTTTTTTTTTAGTAATTTAGGAAAAAATGACATTTTGGCCCCCCTGCTCCAAACGGAATGTTATAAAAAGTTCCTGTTAGGATCCTGTTTCTTTATGGGATCATGCTCAGTACGATTTTGTTCGAATAAGCTTACATTTCTATCGTAATTATTTCTCGAATGCAAAATATTATGCAACTAAATTGTACTACTATAACTATAGAACATTTAAATTGAAATAGGGGCCTGGTCCATTTAATACAGTACCGTTTTAGTCATGTCTTAGATGGGGGCATTATCTCTATATTGCATTAATAGACCTAACAAAGGCATTCGACTTGGTAAGTCGGAGAGGCCTTTTCAGTATCTTACAAAGAATAAGTTGTTCCCCACGACTGCTCACAATCATACTGTCATTTCACAAAAACATGCATCGTGCAGTAACCTTTAATGGTGCTGTCTCTGGGGATTCCCGTCAGCATCGGGGTAAATCAGGGTTTTGTACTGGCACCAACGCTCTTCTCCATTTTCTTTTCGATGCTCCTTCAATTTGCCTAGGGACTGTGAAGATGGAGTGTACATCCACCCAAGATCTGATGGTAGGCTTTTCAATGTCACCCAATTTCGTGCAAAGACCAAATTAAAAAAGGTGCTGATTCGCGAACTACTGTTCGCTGACGATGCCGCCTTATCATCTCACACAGAAGAAGGTCTTCAGGGGCTGGTTAATCGTCTATCATACGCTTGTAAAGAGTTTGGACTGTCAATTAGTCTACAGAAAACGCATGTAATGATGCAAGAAGCACCGTCCTCTCCAATCATATCTATTGAGGGCCATAATCTTTCGGTTGTTAAGCATTTCACATACCTGGGATCCAATATTTCTAGTTCTCTCTCCGTTGATGAAGAGATAAATACCAGGATCGCAAAAGCAGCAGCAACTATGGCTAAACTTAATAAGAGGGTGTGGAATAATATCAATCGTACTGAAAAAACAAAAGTAAGCGTCTATCAGGCATGTTGCTTAAGATGCTCCTATGTGGCAGCAAAGTGTGGACCACATATACCAGTCAGGAGAGCAAACTCAACAGCTTCCATCAAAGATGTCTGCGTCACATTTTACGCATTCGATGGCAGGACAAGGTGCCTAACATGGAGGTCTTGGAACGTGCACAAATGTTAAGAATATTCTCCTTTCTTAGCAAGAGGTGTCTTCGCTGGTTAGGTCATGTAGTAATAATACTGGAGGAAGGCTGTATCCCAAAGCTGCTGCTGTATGGAGAGTTGGCAGAAGGAACAAAACTTATCGGATGGCCACGCCTCACATTTATGGACGTTTGAAAAAACAGCATGAAGGAAGCTAATAGTGAAAACAACGAGCAACGTTCTAGCTGGTGAGATGAAGGAGTAAACGAGGCCCTTGCTACAAAAAGAACAATATGGAAGTCAAAATCTTACCAGGAATCAATATTCTCCTGCTAGAAATGCAGTCGAAATTGTCATTCTAGGATTGGCCTAGTGAGCCACTCGTCTAAGTGTAGGCATTGGCGTAGCTAGGGTGTTTGGCGCCCGAGGACAAGATCCATTTTTAGCGCCCCTTTTTCTTTTTTTCAACTCTCAAACCCATTATTTTCATCAATAAAATAATATGATAGCACATTCTGGCGCCCGGGGACATCTGTCCCACCCCTGCCCCCACCACGCTACGCCTCTGAGTGTAGGACTACATAGCTACTCCATTGTCTCGCGAAGATGGAAGGATGCCATATATATGATACGATATATATATGATATGATATATATTTATGATATCATAAATGTGGTATGATATATATATTATGATATCATATATGTGGTATGATATATATATGATATGATATCATGTGATTATCACATTTGAGCTTGCGCTCAGCTGTAATAGAATACTTTCCTAATTTTCTTTTTTCACTTTCTTCATACCAATAATTTTCTTGTCTCCCAAACCCATAGCACACATGTAACATGATGCTGTTAATTTTTCCATCTCCCTTGCATGCCGGTGTTTATTTTATGCGAATAACTAGCAAGGTGCTGATAGGTCAAGTTTTTGCCCAAAGCTTGTTTTGAATTATAATTACCGGTATATCACAATTTATTTTGCCTATTCCTAAGATTTTCTTCGATTTTTATACATAAAAAGCAGACCGAATGGCGGAGAAGGGTGAAGGGGGAACTAGCCCCGGGCACCAATCTCATATATAATCTCATATATTTCACAAAAGGGGGCGCCAAAAAGTTTTTTTTACTTGTCTACCCTGGACAGCACTCTTTTCTATATATTGAGGGGTGCCATTTTCAGGCTTCGCCCCGGGTGCTACTTTTCCGCGATACAGCCCTGATGACATGCTCCCGACCTTGTCAAAGAAAACGAATGTCTGTGCAGTTTATAAATTTTAACCCTCATTTCTCCACAAATATTTGCAAAATAATCTTGACTGAAATGTTTTGGTTTTTATTTAAAAAAAAATATAATTTACCGTTTGCCCCACGTTGTCAACATAGTCTTAATTCATGTTTAGTGGGTTCTTAATCTTTAAAAAATGTCTGAATGATGGTATTGCTGATTTTTTCGCGTCACACCTACACCCTGCAGGCGACACACTATTGTTCAGAAGGCACTAGCTTAAGTACATGTGTAGAAGAGCTATTGAGCTTAATAATTCATTGCATTTAATTAGATTTTACAGGCCCTAGCTTATAGCGAAATTTGTTACAATCCATGACTTGCTGAAATGTATGCACCCGTCTGGGATCCCTGGAGAGAAACCATATCTCGTACCGGTATGTCCAATGGTCTCTGCTCATGTTATAGTATTACTGCCTGGTGTGACCTTACACGACATTAGTCTATTACAAAGCTATGGCGTCCCACAGTAGTCGATTAGTGGGCGCAGTCTGCAATGTACCATCTAATTAACGCAAGGCATTAAACAGGGATTCTTAAACTTTTTGCAGCGCCGCCACCCCTCTCCAAAACATTTCAGGCCCCCTCTGGATTAAAAAAAAATAAATTCCCCGCCCCTCACCCCCCGGGCAATAAAAGTAGTTGCCAGGTTAGTTAAATGAATACATTTTTGTCTGACATCTCTCTAACTTGCAGCATATTGACGAATGTATCTGTAGATGACAGATTTTTCTTTTTTTTAAATATTTTTTTTTGGTATACGTTTTCTGCACTTCCATGTTATTTCTTTACAATGAATTAAAATTAATCAGATGTGACACCTATACATAGCATTTTAGCTAGTGAAAATTATAATCGGCTTTCGGTAAAAAAAAAATATCCAAAAAATATGCAGAGAGAAAAATAAGTAAATAAAAATCATAAAAAATGTATGTGTTTTCCTGCATCCCTTAGACCCGTCTCCAGCATCCCGGAGGGTGAAGGCACTCTTGGTTAAGAACTTCTGCATTACAAGCTTCTCGTCGAAATGTGCGTCAGCCAAATAAAAGCTGGTTATCTTCACTTGTATCACAAATCAGTCTTTGAAAACTGGTATGGTTCAATCCTCTTTTAAAGAGGCGGTTGTAACTCAACTGCTAGAGAAAGCAAATCTCGACCCAAATATGTTGGAAAATTATGGCCTCGTTTCGAATCTACCATTTGTATCCAAAATTTTAGAGCAAGTCGTTCTCCGCCAGCTTCTAAACCACCTCACTCAGCGTGACTTGTTTGGGCCTTGCCAGTCAGCATACAGGGCGCATCACTCTATTGAGACAGCCTTGTTGTGCGCCGTAATTGACCTTCTGTCGTCTTGTGGTGGGGGCAAAGTATCCCTTTTGTCGTTACTTGATCTTTCAGCTGCGTTCGATATGCTCAACCACGGCATACTTCTCCAGCGTCTGCAAAAAACGTTCGGTTTTACCGATACCGCCCTGAGATGGTTCCGCTCGTATCTGACAAATCGGGTCCAATCAGTTATCGCAAGCGGCTTTACCTCGAAGCAATCTATTATCGAATTCGGAGGACCCCAGGGCTTGGTCCTAGGCCCGGTGCTTTTCAATATTTACGTTTAGCCACTGGGTGCAGTGATCAAGCAGTTTGACATGCTGTAACACATGTTCGCTGATGATACCCAACTTCAGCATTCCGTGATCCCCTCTCAGTTTCCTCAGCTTCTTAGTATGACAGTGTCATTAACACAGAAGACAGTGGAGTCATTTAAGCACTGGATGACCATAAACAAGATCAAATTGAACGATGAAAAGACCGAGCTGATCCCCATTGCTACCGCTCAAAAGCTAAAATCTGTAAATAAGACACTATCCCTTACTCTCTCAGGTATACATATTTGAGCTTGCTCAAACAGTGCGAAACCTGGGTGTCTACTTCGATAGAACACTAACTATGGGAAATCACATTAACTTGCTTTGCAAGGCGATTTTTCTAGGGCTGCGCTAAAACACTTCTGAGAGAGTTGCATTGGCTGCCGGTCCGCGCTCGCATAGAGTACAAAATTGCAACTCTATGCTACCGTTGCTTGCATGACCCGGCACCCTCCTATCTCAAAGCGCTCATGACGACTTATATACCCACTAGACAACTCTGCTCATCCGATAGTGGCAAACTCTCGATACCACGTGTTCGCCTTGAGATTTACGTAAGGCGCACGTTCACATTCGCTGGCCCAACAATTTGGAACACACTTCCTGACGCTCTCAGAAACAGCCAGACACTGGAGTCTTTCAAAACCGAATTGAAAACACATCTATTTCGCAAACACCTGCTGGGGTGATTGTGTCTACCATCTTTTCCAGCTGGCTATTATCTCCTAGATGTATATTGGCCTGTGTTGTTTATGTTTGCAACGGGTGAAAGACTTTGAATGGGTATTCTCGTATGTAGTTTTTGTAATGTTGCGTTTTGTATTTCAATGTGGTATAATATAGATTTTAAAAATTTATCTTCTAATACTTTTTACTTTGTACCGCGCTTCGAGCCTTTGGGGATGAAGCTTGGGCTTGAAGCGTGATTTTCAAATAAACATTATTATTATTATTAATGTACATCAACATACACAATAGCCTGACACGCCTATAAACAAATGATTTCAATGAAGTTACTTGTGGGAATAAAGTCACAGGTCTTCCCAGACTTGCCAACCCTTCTGATTTTGTCGGAATTATACGGATTCTTTACCCCTCATTCCGACCTTCCGACAAAGCCCTTAAAATTTCGATTTTTCGAACTTTATATTTTTTCTTCTTTCATAAAAATCCGAAAGCGATAAAAAAGAAATATGTTCAATTCTACAAAAGAAATGCTAGAACCATTGCTAGTATATATAATGAACGAATGGTTAAAAAGTGACAATGTTTTTTTAGAAAGCGTGGCATTTCCACCGGATAAATATCTCCCGCACTATTTGTCCGGTCGCCTGACGTGTAGAAACTGCTTGTTTTTATTGAAGCGAACCGCGATATTCAAATCATTCTTCAATCATCAATTAATCTGATCTTGATTCATCCTTTTTACAAGGCTAAAAAATACTCAGACTTTTTTGTTTGTTTTGTTGAAGCTTTTCTTATTAAATGGTTAAATCTATTGAAATAGATGAGTACAATGATATTAAGAAACATATTATTTTAACCCCCCAAAAACATAAATCTCCAGCTAAAAGTAATCCATGTCTAATTTCTAATGAAAGTTAATACTTTTTCTAACTTGCTTGTAACTAAAATCAGTTGCAATGCTAACCTTCAGTTGTCCAAATAGATTGGACAAGTTCAAAAAGGCCAGTAGGAATATACTGGAAAACTGATCTCTTAGCAGCCTGTGCACATATGTAAAGAAAATGGATCTTCTGTTCTTCACTTTATATATCTGTATATAAACATTTCCAGTAATGTTTTTCTCATGTTCTGTGGTGTTCTGTGGACTCTTCAAAGCAATGGAGGTAACTTTATATTTCTTTATTTACTAAAAGAAGACTTGTGCATTAGTAAATAGATCTTAAGCCAACTCCCCCCACGGGGCGCCACCCACTGGGGAGCAGTGGCCCCACTTACCCCCTGCGTGACCCCCCTACAGATTTTGTTTTTGCCAGGTCTGTTTTCCATTTAGAAATATTTTGTTTGAAATCCTTAATTATGTTGGTATATCTAATATTTATGAGGCTTTTATGCAATAACTAGTTTATTTTGATAATGAATGCAGAGAAAATGTTGAAGAAAGGAACAAAGCACGACTGATCTTGATACAAAGGAAACCAGAAGACAACACAAACATACAAGGAAGCCAGAAGGAAAGCCACAAAAATTTGTAGGAAAAAAAAGAGGGAATGTGAAAAAGCTAAGCTAAAAGAAATAGAAGACTTACCAAGAGAGGGAAACATCAGAGAAATGTATATGAAAATAAAAGATGAAAAGAATGGATACCAAGCCAGACCGCAAGTGTGCGAGAGCCAGGATGGAGAATTAACTGCGGAAAATTTTAAAGTGCTGGAGATGTGGGCTGACACATACTAAACCACAGACCATTGACAAGATAAAGATTATCAACCACCACATGGAGGACCAGACTCTTAAATAATCTCCCCAACTCTAGAAGAAACTATAGAAGTAATCAATTACCGGGTATATGAAAAACCACAAAGCCTCTGGAGAAGGCCTCATAACAGCAAAACTTATTAAATTTGGAGGAAGAGAGCTACACAATCAGACACAAACTAAATTCGTCAAGAAGAAAAAACTCCAACAGAAAGCGAAACAGCATTAATAACCTCGATACATAAGAAAGGCACCGACTGCAGAGTAATTTCGCTATTAAATGTTACATACAAAATACTGACAAAACTAATTGCCAAAAGACTACAACCGTATACTGAAGAAATACTAGGTGACTACCAGAGGGGATACACAACAAATCAACGATTGATCAGATTTTTGCCATCAGATGCCTATCTATAAGAGAAATGTTACGAATATAATATTTGTATTTATTTATTTAGGCATTTTTATATAGCGCTTACCTTACAGCTCTAGGCGCTTTCCAATTATTAAAAACATGTAAACTATATAAACTGCTAAAGTAAAATAAAAATGAAAAACCAGAGACACTGGAATAGTAACAACAATGTTAAAAATGACTATAGAAACAGTAGCTTAAACATTAAAATGGCTATAAAAACGAGTACACTTTGGCACGTTTTGGCCTATACTACAGGATTCACCCGAGACAGAAAATGAGGCAGGACGAAGAAGGTGCATCACAGGTCGTAGGCGGACCTAAAAGATGGGTTTTAAAGGACGAGGTTTCACAATGACGGATGTGGAAGGGGAGCTGGTTCCAGAACGTGGGCGCATGGAAGTAGAAGGAGCGTTCACCCATGTAAACTATATTGGTACATTTTGCGACAGTAAGCGTAAAAAGCCAACCTCAGTGTGAAGTTGAGATTTTTTCTTTCTTACCAGATCAGAAATGCTCGGGGCAGTCTTTGCAAGAGCACAACGAAGATGATCTTTCACAAGAAGTCTACATTTATACTTATACTTGATTACCAACAAGCTGGAAAACCCTATTTCACAAAGATATGTTGTTGAAAATGGAAGAAGAGGGCTCAACACAGTCTCAGACTGCAAACTCTTGATCCAGAATTGTGTAACTGGCATTGTAGAGAAATCAGTTCTCGCTGCATCGCTCTTAATAAGTTCAATGAACTGCTCTTGTGTTACTCAGGAAGATTTTTGACTGTGAATGGACTTCTGGCAAGTGCAAATTGGGTGTCAGGTAGATTTGGAAAGTACGATGAAATTTTGTCTGCAAGCATGTGCAAGTGTTCCTTCACATAATTTATCATCGTATTCCTTTTGTCTGGTTCAATGTCATGTTCTTCAAAGAAAACAGATAAGATATACAACCTTTAAATTGTGTTTTCATTCAATTTTTGTGTGTGCCAAAACTGAAGTTTCATTTGGAATGATCGCATCTTTTCAGACAAATCGTGTCATGTTGCGTTTGGTCCTTGCAGTGATAAATTTAAGTCATTCAAGATGGCAAAGATGTCAACCAAGTAAGCTATTTTCTGCAGTTCACTTTTATCACTAAAAAGTGCTTTGAAAGCAATTCTGATTTTTAAAAAAAATTTTTTGAGTGTATCCCAAAGCTCAAAAACACGTTTTGAAATTTTTGCTCTCGACAACCATCTCACTTCAGTGTGAAATGATAATAATATAGTTTATTTGAAAGACACGCTTCATCCCCAAAAGCTCGAAGCGTGGTACAAATTCAACCATATTAAAAAGAGAAATAAAAACAATATACAATTTACCTCATTTAAAAAATAGACGCAACAATATAAAACTACATACGAGCATACCAATTAAAGTCTTTCATCCCGTTTCAACCATAAACAACACAGGCCAATATACATTAACTGAAAAAGATGGTAGATAGCATCACCTCAGAAGGTGTTTGCGAAATAGCTGTGTTTTTAAACCGGTTTTAAAGGACTCCAGTGTCTGGCTGTTTCTGAGAGCGACTGGAAGGGCATTCCAAATTGTTGGGCCAGCAAATGCAAAAGTGCGCTTTCCGTAAGTCTCAAGGCGAGCACACGGTATCAATATTTTGCCACTATCGGATGAGCGGAGCGCTCTAGTGGGTACATAAGTTCATAAGGCGTCATGAGTACTTTGAGGTAAGATGGCGCCAGGTCATGTAAGCAGCGGTAGCACAAAGTTGCAATTTTGTACTCTATGCGAGCGCGGACAGGCAACCAGTGCAGCTCTCTCAGAAGTGTTTTAGCATGGTCGAATTTGCGTTTGCAAAGAACAATGCGAGCCGCATTATTCTGTGCTCTTTGAATTTTATCCAGGAGCGTAGCTGGGAGACCACAATGAGAGCATTGCAGTAGTCCATGCGTGATAACACAAATGCAGACTTCAGCCTCTTTGATGCATCTAAAGTTAAGAAAGGTCTGATATGACTAATCCTGCGCAGCTCTAGGAAAACTGCCTTGCAAAGAATGTTAATATGATTTTCCATAGTAAGTATTCTGTCTAAATAGACACCCAGGTATCTCACTGTATGAGCAAACTTAATCTGCATACCTGAGAGAGTAAGTGATGCTGTGTTTTTTACAGATTTTTTTTTCTGAGCAGTGGCAATAAGGATCAGCTCGGTCTTTTCATCATTCAATTTGAGCTTGTTTATGGTCATCCAGTGCTTAACCGACTCCACTGTCTTCTGTGTCGTACTAAGAAGTTGAGGGAACTGAGAGGGGATCACGGATTGATGAAGTTGTGTATCGTCCGCGAACATGTGATACAGCATGTCAAATTGCTTGATCACTGCACCCAGTGGCTGAACGTACATAGTGAAAAGCATCGGGCCTAGGACCGAACCCTTGGGTACTCCGAATTCAATTATAGATTGCTTCGAGGTCAAGCCGTTTGAAATAACTGACTGGACCCGATTTGTCATATACGAGTGAAACCATCTCAGGACGGTATCTGTGAGACCGAACTTTTTTGCAGACGCTGGAGCAGTATGTCGTGGTCAAGAGTATCGAAAGCTGCCGATAAATCGAGTAAAGACAAAATGGATAACTGGCCCTCATCACAAGACTACAGAAGGTCGTTTACGACGCGCAACAAGGCTGTCTCAGGAGAGTCATGCGCCCTGTATGCTGACTGGAAAGGTTCAAACAAGTCAAATTGAATGAGGTGATCCAGGAGTTGGCGGAGAACGACTTTTTCTAAGATTTTGGATATAAATGGTAGATTTGAGATGGGGCGATAATTTTCCATCACATTTGGGTCAAGATTTGCTTTCTTTAACTATTAACAGTGGCGTTACTATTAGCTCTTTAAAAGTTGATGGAACAATACCAGTTGTCAAGGACTTATTTATGATACAAGTGATGATGGGGACTATTTCATCCAGACATTCATACAACAGCCTGTTGGAAGAGGGTCGAGTGAGCATGACTTTCTTGGGGTATTAGCCAGGATTTTCCAGACATTCGATTCACTGACCTCAACAAATTCACCCATAGGAGAGCCGTTGAAGAGTGAGAATTCTGGAGCAGTATCGATGTAGCTGTCAAGTTTCGTCATGATCTTCTTAGCTTTTGTAATAAAGTAGTCATTTAGACGCTTCTGGCAGCTCTTCTACAGCAACGTTATTTGGCAGAGATGTAGCCTTGTTTTTACCGGTCAGCTGACCCACAATGTGAAATAAGTCCTTGCTTGAGCTGCTGCCTGTAATCTGATGACTAACATGCTCTGTCCTAGCTGCAAGGACCAACTTTTTGGTTCGTTCCGTTTGGTCGACAAAGATTTGTCGGTGCACGGTCAAGCCCGACTTCCGCCATTGGCGTTCTGCACGTCGCTGCTTCTGCTTAGCGTCCTTAATTTCGGGCGTGAGCCATAGGGCGGAAGGGCGGTCCGTAACTCGCCGTGTGGATTGTGGTGCATGTTTGTCTAAAATGACTCTGAGGCCACTGTTGTAGTCTGTAGCAGGGTCATCTTCACTGCACACAAGGGCTGCGACGTCACATCTAAAGGCCGCTAGATATATCTGTCGGAGGTCACGGGATGTTACTGATCGCAGAAGGCGTCCAGGCTTCCTCAAGTCAAAGTCGAAGGTGACTGGGAAGTGATCAGAAATAAGTTTGTCCTCAATATTGATGTTACGGATCATAGCTGCGCGGTCCTCTCTGACAACAAGCCAATCTAGGATGTGACCCCGCTTATGCGTCTGTACACTGACAAGCTGAGTCATTGTTCGGTGCATCCATCTCGTTGCACAGTTGCGAAAAAAGTCGACTGTTTAAAGTGCTCGCCTTCACGCAATTGCCAGAACTTATGACACTTTTCATTACTTATTGTAATTCTTGTGGCAGCGTCGTCTTTTCTAATATTTGCCGATGAATCAATCAGTGAGTTCCGATGACTTTTAGTGACTCATTCAGTACCAAACGTTGAAATCCAGATCGACATCCTAGGCTAGCTGGAGCACCATCTGTGCAAACACCACTAACCTTTTCACAAGAGATCTTATGATCTTTCAGAAATAAATAAACTGTGTCAAATATACATCATGTGCAGTGGTTGCTTTTAAAGAGGTTTGCAAAAAAATAAACTCATCTCTAAAGTCGCCATCATTAATATAACTCACATAACCTATTAACTGTGAACAGTTTGCAACGTCTGTACATGCATCAAGCTGGATAATAAATATTGGAAGTGGAGCAGATTTAATTTCCTGGATTACGTGATCAAGAATATCAACAGTCATGTCATCTATTCTTCTGCGGACAGTGTCGTTAGCTAAGGAAATTGCACTCGTCTCTCATCATAACGCGAACAATGTCTTTGGCCGCTGGCAACAGTAAATTCCCAGCAATGGTTTGAGGCTCCATAGCTCTGGCGATTTTGAGTGACACCAAATATGAAGCTTCAATGGCTGCTACGTTTTGTTTGTGGTACTTCAAAGTACTTGACAAGTCTGACTTTCTCGAGTCCATCAGCTTTACTTCTAAAATACCTGGTATCCTTGCCGACAAAGCTCGAATGCTTGCTATCAAAATGGCGTTTTAGTTTGTTCGGCTTTATAGATTCGGCTGATAGAACTTAACAGCAAATAACACATTGCGGTTGAAAACATAGATACCGGTACATTCATAATATGGGTTTAGCAGCTTTTAATCAGATGGGACTAAATGCAATTGCACAAAATGACTGACAATGACTATGTTGTAAATCATTGTAATATTCTCATCACTACCGTCAGGGGTCAGATTCAAAAGAGAGCATGAAGCAGTAGACGAGCATACTTTTTATTTCGCGTTTTTTTTTTTTTTTTTTGCTTTTATCTCGCAATCATCATCATACATCAGAGGCAATTTATAACAGAGAAGTAACTCAGTAAAACAGCATGCTGACCTTACTTCAGATGGGACTAAATGCAATTGCACAAAATGACTGACAATTACTATGTTGTAAATCATTGTAATATTCTCATCACTACCGTCAGGGGTCAGATTCAAAAGAGAGCATGAAGCAGTAGACGAGCATACTTTTTATTTCGCGTTTTTTTTTTTTTTTTTGCTTTTATCTCGCAATCATCATCATACATCAGAGGCAATTTATAACAGAGAAGTAACTCAGTAAGACAGCATGCTGAGCTTACTCTCACACAGGCACTATAGTACGGACTGCAGGCGAAGGCTACTAAAACTTAATCCTAAACTTTCCTCCCAGTACACTGATTCTAATCACATTAAACTTGAACAGTGACTATCTTTACCCCATGTATTATCACTAGAAAGATTCTGCTTCCTAAACCGATATTTATTTTTGTCTTTAAATTTTCACTTTTAGTTTATCGTAGATAACAATAGTAGCATTTATTGTTCGGTTTAATTTCAGCATCGGTCATTTGACCTATATTCTTTATTTATTAACGTTTTCCTTACTTGCCATTGGTTAAGCCTATCACGTGATACCGGTACTTCGATTGATTTTTTTCCTTCTACGTTTTTACTGGACTTGTGTGATTCTTCCAAAGTATGCACCATTTATAATCCGCTATTACCCTTTGACGAGCTGATTTATGCATTAGTTTTCACGTCGGTTTAAACTTTATTATGGGATGAATGGTTCAAGGGGGAGGACATGTCCGATATCAATCGGTTTCTAAGAACATTGGCATCGAAAATGTGTGTTTTTCAATGGGCTTAGGCGACCCCCCAAAGGGGTCGCGACCCACAGGCTGAGAACCGCTGCACTAAAATGCAAATTAACCGCTGAGATGAAGCACCTGTATCGAATACATAATTACCGCAGCAGTTATCAAAAATAGCTTTCAAACAATACATTGAGTTAGCATCTAGAAGTATAACGAATTTGAAAGTCCTATTCAAACTGGTACCGGTAATTTTATAAATTGTCAACATGATTGACGGCAAGTTACTAAAATCAACAAAACCTGAAATATAAAAAAAAACAACAACAACTAGATAGAGCCCGCCAAACATTGGCGACGTGAACTTCCCATCTAGTAAAGTTACTTGACAAAACATGAACTCAAGTAACGCACATTTAAGAATCCCAATATTTGCTACACCCCTTCCCCCATGATACGTCACTGCACACTTTTTATTTCACACCCATGAACTATATTAAATTAAATATACATGTTCCAACCACTTTTAAACCGAATATTTTTTACACAATACTTAAAATTAGACGATTTCATTTCCGAAAATAAAATATTACGCACCAAACGCAATTGCGTTATTTAAAAAAAAATAATAATATATTAGCGTAGTTATCGGGAATTATATTTTGCGCACTAGTGAACTTATTATTTAACCAAGCCCTGGCGTATCTATGTATGGTGGTGTTTGACCTTTGCTGGCGAATTATATAATACTAGTTATAGCCCGCCAAACATTGGCGACGGCAATGTGTGAACTTCCCATCTACTGAAGTTACTTGACAAAACATGAACCCAAGTATCCCACATTTATGAATTCCAATTTTTTCTACACCCCCCCCCCCACCCCCAATGATACGTCACTGCACACTTTTTTTTCCCCACGCCCATGAACTATAAATACCGGTATATAAGAATGAGCTAGAGTCACATAACGCCAAAATGGAGATACTATTTAAGTACGTTCGGTTTCCTAAAAACAATCATAGTTATTTTCTATTATTCTACGGAAATCGAATAAATTTAAATGCGCAAAAAAATATTTAAAATCCAATTTCATTTTAGTTTTAGTAAAAGTTTAAGTATTATTATTATAAATTACAAATACATTTAAAGTATCAACTAAGGAACTATTTTAAGTATTTTATATGTGTTTAAAACTTATGAAAAAAAATCATGATCAAAGAATTACACTTAATCACATTTTTCGGGAGAACCAAAACATCAGTCGTTTTTAGTGCCTTGTTAACATTGCGAAATAAAAAAATTAATTAATTTGTTCTAAATAATCACGCAAATGACCGCAAATGACGTCATAGCGCGAATGGCTTATTTCTAAAAAAAACTCTTAGGTTTCTTTAAATATAATAACTACGCGTGACAAAACTGATACTGTATTTTCCCTTCTTAAAATTAAAATTAATAAATACAATTGATTGCTTTTTAAATTGTTAATAAAACACACACACACACACATTTCTGCTGTGTACCGGTATATTAAAATTAAAAAGTTTTGCTTTTTTTTAATTCCAAAAATATAAATTTATTAAGATTATAACGTAGTAAAAACTAACCTTTAAATATAATTATAATAAGAAAATGCTGTTTAAGTCAAACAGTGCAGTAGAGATCAACCGAAAGTGATTTTCTGATTTCGGCCGAAAATAGACAGAAAGTTAAAACTGAATTTCGGCCGAAGCCGAAACCGAAATATTATGATATTTTGAAATTCGTTCCTGCATACATTCTGCATACATCGAAAATGATGGCAACAGTGAGTAGGTTGAAGAAAGTGAATCCTAGTTCTTGAGAACCCTTAATGTTTTTATTGTTATTTATAAAGGTTGAGCAGATTGTAACAGTTGTAATCGCTTTTTTGTGGCATACTTGATGCGGCCCAGTCTCACTCAGACTCAGACACTACCTTCTGCGGCCCCCTCTGATGATTTGAGTTTGAGACCCTTGATCTAATGAATACTTTGGATTTTACCATTTTAATATAAAGTTAATTTTAATTGCTTTTATAATGTTTATAATATTATTACAACCTAGAACATATACCTACAAAATTATTGTGGCTCCAATAGAGCCAATTGCCACCTAAATATATGTTATTGAGGCTATATAAATATCACCAGAATGTTTAGCTGTTTTCGTAATACTAATGCTTTGTGTTTTCATGAATAGCTTGCAAGATATCACTGTATTAATATTCAACCTAGTAACAACACACTAGTCTTTCGGTGCTGGTGACGTAATTATTTCGTTAAAGAACATTTAGTTTGTTCTTAAAAATCGTTTAATTTGTTCTAAAAGGTCGTTTAGTTAGTTGTTAAGATCGTTTAGATTGTTCTTAACGATCGCTTAGTTTGTTGTTAAAGATCTTCAGTTTTTTATAATGATCGCTTTATTTGTTCTTAAAGATCGGTTAGTTTGTTCATAAAGATTGCCTGGTTTGTTTTTAAAGATGGTTTAGTTTACTTTTAATGATCGGTTAGTTTGTTCTTAAAGCTCGGTGAGTTTGTTCTTAAATTCGCTTAGTTTGTTTTAAAAGATCGCTTATTTTAATCTTAAAGATCCTTTAATTTGTTCTAAAGATTGCTTAGTTTGTTGTTAAAGATCGTTCCGTTTTTTGTTAATGATCGCTCTATATGTTCTTAAAGATCGGTTAGTTTCCTCATAAAGATCGCTTAGTTAGTTGTTAAAGATCGCTTATTTTTTTCATTAAGATCGCTTAGTTTTTTTCATTAACATCGCTTAGTTTTTTTCATAAAGATCGCTTAGTTTGTTCTTAAAGAAAATTGATTTTGTTCCTTAAGATCGATTAGTTTGTTCTTAAAGATCTTTTAGTTTGTTCCTAAAGATCATTTAGTTTTCTGTTAAAGATCGCTTAGCTTATTCTTATAAATCATTTAGTTTACTATTAAATATCATTTTTTTGTTCTTAAAGATCATTTAGTTCGTTCTAAAAAATCGTTCAGTTTGTTCTTTAAGATCGTTTAGTTTGTTATTAAAGGTCATTAAGATTGATCTTAAAGTTCGTTTAGTTTGCTCTAAAAGATTGCTTAATTTGTTCTTAAAGATCGCATAATTTGTTCTTAAATGTTGTTTAGTTTGTTGTTAAATACTCGCTTTCGCTGAGTATTAGATGACAGAAAACCTGAGTCACTTTCGGCCGGATGGCCGAAAGTCTAAGTCAGTTTCGACCGAAACCGAAAAAACCCCCGAAATTTAACTTTTCTCTTTCGGCCAAAACTGAAATTAAGCCGAAAATTAACTTATATTAATTAACTTAGATATATAGCGGATAAATTCTCCTCAAAACGTAATGATGTTAGAAACGTAAATATTATTACATTTTAAAGTGAATTGTGATGCGTTTTTGCAATAGCAGTTAAAAATTATCGCATAGGATCTACCATTATTATCCCGATAACATCGGGTCATTTATTCTAGCATTAAATATTCTGATGTCCCAAACACTTAATTTTTTTACACCATACTTAAATTGAGACGATTTCATTTATCGAAAAATATTACGCACCAAACGAAGTTGCGTTATTAAAAAAATATAAATGATTCAGTTATCGGGAATTATATTTTGCGCGCTAGTGAACTCATTATCTATATATATAGCCTGCGTGGTGGTGGTGTTTGACCTTTGTTGGCGAATTATGTTCTCAAGAACTAGGCGTCACTTTCTTCCTCCTACTCATTGTTGCCAGAGACCTGGCAGCGCTTCTTCTTACACAGCTGCGCAGCTTTGGCTTGAGTGAGGAAGCAACTGAGACCCTCAGTGAAGCTTGAAGATGCTCATCATTAAGTTTGGCCCTGAATTTCGACTTGGTAAAGTTCATAGTGGAAAAGAGCTTTTCACACAAATAGGTACTCCCAAAAATGTATATGATCCGCTTGAACAACCTGGAAATCTCAGGGAAGGTGGAGGGCAATGCTCTCATAAATTATCCATGCTTGTCTATTTTTCCATTCACATCCCTGAACTTAAAATTACACTGACGATCAATCAGCTCCATTTGAAGCGTAAGTTTGGGGGTCAGCAAAAAGCTGAAAAATGGCTGTGTGTTTTGAAGTCTAAAAAATGTGATTAAATTCTTCCTGTAGCTTTACAATGGCACCAGTATACTTACTACTAATTTACTACTGAATCGTGTATCCGAGTCCATGAGTACTTAGCATGTTGGGAAATGACATGTGTTTCTCTAAGAACCATAACACAAGTTTTGTGCAGAATGCCCTGACATTGTCATAGGCATCACTGACAAGCTACCCTTGGTCTTGTACCTTCTTGTTGAGTACCGGTATATTCAGCTCCTGTGTAATGTAAACAAGAAAAGCCAAGTCCATGAGCCATTTGGGATCACTTAGTACAGGAAGTACCACCCTATCCTTCTCCATGAAGGCTTTAAATGCTAAAACGCGTTCAAACAGTAGGCAGAAAGCAGCCATATTTATGAATTATTGATGCGAAGGAAAAAGCTGTTGTAGGAGAATGAATTTTGATTTTCTATCGTAGAAGATGGCTTTTTGACTAACCCTATTTTGAAAGTAACCAAGCTGACAGGCTCGTAATTTCCCTCACTCGTTAACACCAGTGGCAATTTTAATAGGGATTCTTTGATACTATATCCGATTGCTACGATTTACACAATTATGGTTGTGCATTACCCACCAACTGACTCTTTAAAACCTTGCTCAACACCGCACTTTGACCATGTTGGTATCATAAAATGGTATGAAATAAAAACTTGTAGTCCGATTTTAAAACGGTTCTTACCTTTATATTCAATTTACAAATATATACAAACATAATATAAATCAGAATTAGACTGTTAGGTGAGATTCGACTGAAAGCTTTGCAGAGGGTCACATTATAGATATGAGAATGGCGAAACAGCACGGACCGCATTAACCATTAACCGCGGGCCGCGAGTTTAAGACCCCTGATCTACAGCCTGTATTATTATTATTATAATCCTTTAGAATATACTAGATAGGTCGAGGCGCTTTTGCAATGTGTAAGCCCTTTCGAAAGATATCTATTAAACATGCTATATATATGCCTAGAGAGATAGGAAGGAGACAAGAGATATTTTGAGTGATTGCTATTACGATAGAGCTGTGTTAACTAACATTTGATATGTGTGTTTGTAGATTCTTTACTCATCATTTGTACGGTACCATTTACAACATTGCTTCAACATTGTACTGTTAAAAGATAATCATTATACTGTAAGTCAATAGCTTTATTTTTTTATTTTATATTTTATTGTGTAATTTATTATAATTAACATAATAAAACTTTAAATTGTTATTAGCCCTAGTTTGGAACTAGCCATTAATTAACACGAAATAACTTGGAATGTACTTGTTGATGATTATATTCGCGAACTTATTCGAAACCACTACCGGTTATGCTACAATTACAATCATACTGGCTCTCTATTTCATCCAAATTTTAGTTTTAGACTGACATACAAGACCAAATACGTTACAAAAAAAAACAACAACAACAAATGCACGAACAAAGTGAAGTTACACACAGTTACAGTTGCTCAGCCAAATTCGGTAACAGTCGATGCTTTGCTGATGAGTAGCAACGACCGTCGGTCGAAAACAAATATTATTTTTATTACCGGTATTGGTCAGAATTGTACGATTAAATAAGCTTTGAAAAAAAAAAAAATGGCTTAGTTCGAGTGTTACTTCCAGAATTTAATTGTAGAAAGAATTGGTAGTGATTAAATAAGAATAAGATTCTTTTCTTGATCCAAACAAATGGAAATGTTTTTTGATTACATTGTACATACAGGTATACATTTTCAGCACATAAATAAATACATATTTTCATAAAGTCCACATTTTCTAACTAAAACAATTTAAAAACATGACAACTTGTTTAGTTTTACAATTGAATAACATTTTTCTTTAAATAGTTCTTCAAGTGAAGTATGTTTAGTTTGTGTGATGTTTCTAGCTTTCTTGATTATTCTTTTTATGCGGTGTTAGATATCAGGCGATGAATGTCCACACCAGCAGGTAATAGTGAAACTAAGTAGGCTTCCAATTCTTGCACTGTAGAATAAGTTAATAACTTGTTTGTTGACGCTGAAATAGTAGTTTTTTAAGATAGAAAAGTCTTTGGTTGAATTTTTGTATACCGGTACCGTACAGCATTTGGTCGTGCTCATGCCATGTTAGCTTATTGTTAATGGTGACACATTAGTACTTGTACGTCTCTACTTTCTCTAACTTTAATTTTTTATGTTGAGATTTGTAATCTGGTGTTTCCCCCTCCGGAAATCGACAACCATTTCCTTTGTTTTTCAATTTAGTTACAGGTTTTGAGACATTCAGCTGGAGAAAATTTCATCGCACCAGTTGATAAAGCCTGTAACTAAATTGCGGCATAAGCCTTCTCCCTCAGATATTAAGATATGATGGTGTTATCATCAGCTAATTTTATGATTGGAACGGTGTTGCTTGGGCTCTGAATATCTGAATAGTTATAAAAGGTCTAGACCGTTGTCATGATAAACAATCAATCTACACTGCTTCAGCAGGTTATACAATACCTAATATTGCTAAGTGTCATTGGCCTCCTCTTTATCTAACCCGACAATATCTTATACTTTCTAAATGTATTTTAAGTCTACCATTTCCAATATGGTTGAAATAAAATAGTGGCGCATTTGTTTCAATTGCTACTTTCAGAATTTCATAGTAGATGATTAAAACTAGCCGTAAAAGGCCAAGGCTGTTTACAAGATAAACATGATTCGGATGCGATTGGCTGCAATGTGTGCACAAAGTTAGGCCAATTTCTCCAACGAAAGATAGGTCTCGTATATCAGTCTTGGGTGTTGTAATGCGATACGGAGCCAGTGGGCTTCTTAATCCACACATAATCCACGTACTGGTAGCTATATATTTTTTAATATATTGAAACTTAATCTTGTGACGTAAGAACTTTTCGACGTGTTTTAGCTTTGTTCTTCAATTCTGTGTGCTTGTTTTATTGATTTGCAATAGGGATGTCAAACTGAGGGTTATATGGGTCACACTTTTTGTCACGAGGGCCACACGCGGCAACTAATTGAAGTTATTTAATTAAAATTATTGCAGAATGTTTTTGTTATCTACTTAAACTTAGAATTTAGAAACATTCAATTTGAATACTAGTCACATCCATGAATGCAAAGTAATCAAGTATTTGAGCAAAAAAAAAAAACAAAAAAAAACCCCCACAAAACAAGAACTATAAAAACACAAAAAAAAAAAAAAAAAAAAAAAAAAAAAAAAAAAAAAAAAAAAAAAAAAAAAAAAAAAAAAAAAAAAAAAAAAAAAAACAAAAAANAAACAAAAAAAAAAAAATAAAAAAAAAAAAAACACAAAAAATGAACTTTTAAAACCCAAAAAAACAAAAAAAAAAAAAAAATTTAAAAAAAAAAAAAAAAAAAAAAAATACAACAGGTCAAAATGAACAACTATTTACGACTATTTCAATCATTTTTAGTGTTTTGTCCTGAGGCGTGACGCCTGTTTTAGTCAATTTTGGTAAGGTATGTCTGGCAGATATGTCTACAGTTCCGACTTTGATCAGAGATAACAAGTGTCAAATTGACATGCCTGAGTGATTATACAATTAGAGTTATTGGTATACTTACATTTGTTTTCAAAGGGATAGGTTGTTAGATTGACATGGAAAATGAATCTGATTCCCACAAGTTTCCAGACCAAACGTCATATAAGATTAAGAGCCTCCTGGTAAAGCTGACGGCAATGAAAATAGCCACGTGTTTTTAAGTCTTCTGCGTCGTAATGAAGTCTGAAAATAAATTGAATACTAGTATATCAAAACAGTCCACGTGCGTTCTGCTCATCCATAGATTTAAAAGTTTTCTTTTAAGTGATTCAATTTAATTTCTCAGTCATTTTTTTTTTTTGGTATGAAACCCACAAATAAAGTGTCTAGATTTAGTTCATTTATTAACTGGAGAAGAATCGGGGGAAACGTTCTATTTTTGCCAACCTCGGTCTACACTGAACTATTTATTATAAATACCGTACATAATTGTCTTTTCTGATCTAATAGTCTTACTGTCAACTCATCCCAGAGAAAGCATGTGTGTGCATCAGGTGTGCACCTACAGATGAGTCCACTGATCTAACAAATGAACTACCGGTACTACGCTCAGAAGTCGGCTGGGGTGGTTGGGATTGGGTTAAAGGTGACATTTTATATTTGATTGACACCGCCGTTGAGTTCACACCTTATATCATTCCACAGAATAAATGCTTGTTACCAGATTTTTTGGAAACCCTTGATTTAATTGGGTTATAATGATAGGCAAGCACATTTTACATTACTGGGTTTGCAGTTTTAAATTGTCAATGTTGTACTTAAAACGCGTGAAGACATGCATTTTTTTTAAAACATTACAATTTAACGCGAATCGCAGCTGTGTTCAAAATTTGAGTTCATTAAGTCGTTAGGATCTTACCTAACAAAGAGCAAAACTGTTTGAGCCGGACCACGAATATAATGATGCCAAGTCAAAGCTTAAAAAAAAAAATTTTTAAAAAAATAGAATTAAGCAGGTTCATGTGACTGATGGTAGGTTTGGATAGTTGCTATTATTTGCCGCAACGATGGCGAATGGTAGGTTCGGATGGTTACTCCACTGTGATGGATGGTTGGATGATATGGCTCCTTAGACGGGCCCCCACTGTGACGTGACGTACGTTGTCTAGGGGTCGGTCCCCTGCGTACTAGCCACAGAACAATTTTCAAGGGTCTAGAACCCCTGTTGTCTAACCCCCACAGAGCTGCTGTGCTGAATAGTCCAAGTATTTATTAAAACAAACGATGCAAAGCTTCAGGGTTCATATGATTTATTGCCTCCATCTTCCTGACAGTGGAAAATGCATAGTAAACATCCGATGGTTTTCAGAATACAAAATTTGCGTCCAGAAAAATGCTGCACATAATATAAAAAATATATTTACATAAGTCCTCTGCCATCCATGGAAAAAATCTCCCCCAACAAACTAACGTCCTCACTTCCAAGCCACCGCGTTCGCCACAGTCACGCTCTCTGAAACTCACCTCCCCTTTTTACACACTCCTCCCCTTTTTACACACTCCTCTCATCACTTGGTTCCTCCCGACACAGCACACCGGTCATACCTGACCGAGAAAAATCAAAACTCGTGGGGCACACGGGGAAAAGAAACTCCCCCACGATTGGTCAAATTAACATCATAAAAGCTGACACAGAAAAANCCCCCCCCCCCCCCCCACTCACGAGTGACGTTTGATGAAACCCAATGTTGCGAGTTTACAAAAAACAGCTGTCAGTTCGCGTGCATATTCTGGTAAACTGACATCAATATTTATAGCATAAAACATATTGATATTTTAATAAATTTTCTCATGAAAGGTCTATCTTAAAACACTGCGCTGTCAATCATACTTTGAAAGTCACTACTATTGTTATGGCAATGCATTGTAGAATTAAGACATCTCTAATGAAACATACATGGCAATAGATAAAATAATTACAATTCTTCTTCATCTCAATATTTTCCTAAAATCAAATTGAGAATTTATTTTAATACCTCGTCACAAATATTTAAATGTTTACAGCACATGATTTCGAAAAATCTTAATTCAAAAATGAAAAAGTAAAGAAAAACAAATGTCAACATCTGAGCATGTGTGGACAGCCATGAATTGTCCTTTCAATGTTTACATACACGACGGTGGAATGTTTCGCTTATCCCCTTGTCTTAAAAAATCATGAAGGTTATTTGATCCTCCCAACTCACCCCAGTCTCTTCTCGTGTTTGACCTGCACGGTCTAGTAGGCACGAAATCACCCAACAAGTCTTTTATACCACAAGACCGTTTTGCTTCCCCCCAAGCTGTCCCTTCTCGTTTGTAACAAATACGATCATTGTTGAAAAGCACAACACATTTTACATTATTAGACGTGTCAACTTCACACAAATCAAGTTTTCCATCGTCTCGGGGCGGAAACACTTCACAGTCTCTGTCAACTGTGACATGTTCATAAATAACTGAGTTAAACTCAGGAGCGGTCAAAAAATGCGATCTCCCCTCCTCATCAAACCATAACACACATGAGCTTGACTCAGGAGTGTCGGTGAACTCTGTCGAAGGTTCAACCTGACGACATCTAATGGATGCTACCCTGGTCAAGGTTACGGTCTCCACTTCGTGGTTACCCCGCTTGTCCTCCATATAATCATGACCCCTTGCTTGCGTGGAAGCGGAAGGTGGTTCATGCTTGTGATCATGACCCCTTGCTTGCGTGGAAGTGGAAGGAGGTTCATGCTTGTGATCATGACCCCTTGCTTGCGTGAAAGCGGAAGGTGGTTCATGCTTGTGATGAAGACCCCTTGCTTGCGTGGAAGCGGAAGGTGGTTCATGTCTTCAACACCCGTGGGTGTGTTATCAAAAGCCATGAGTGTGCCATCAAAAGCCTCTGGCACCTTCAAAACTCAGTCACTCTCTCAACACCAATAAGTAAAGTATCCGTAACACTTTGTTCATAAACAATATTCTTATCACAAACAACTTCTCTGGTTTCATAATCAATAAACAAACTACAAACATCAGTCACTCTATCAACATCAATATGTGGAACATCACCAATACTAGGCTCAAAATAATAAATCTCATTAAAATCATCTACTTTGGGTTCATAAGCCATATCACAATCAAAACCATCACTAGAAGAAGCAACAACACTATGTTCATAATCAGTATTTTTATCAAAATTTCCATCTGAACCATCTACACTGGGTTCATAATCAATATCCCAATCAAAACAATCATCCAAAGCATCAACAACGCTATACTCATAATCAATATTATTATCAAAGTCCCTAAATGAAACATCAATACCACTAGGTTCACTACTTGTGCATGGGCGATAGCCATCCTGCACATCATCACATTTGTCCTCTTTATCCACATTATCCAGCTTATTTTCTCTTGTTTCGGTGTCTTCAAAATATTCATCAACTATACCAAACTGAAAAAAATCCGATTCATCATTTTTCCTAGTTTGATACTGCCCCTTTCTACAGTTTGATTTTTAGTTTCTGACAGCCTTACCCAAGACTTGATCTCTCGACACCATCTAAGCTCATTCCCACTAACTTCTACCTTAGTATATTTCCTCGGTCTATATTTCCCATAACTATTTTTAAAGGCCTCCTCCCGCTTGATTTCTTCAAAAGCTTTCTCATCAACTTTACTTTGAGTAATGCTTGGACCCTCGTCCAAACAATTCGACGTTATGTCTGCATCTTTAGTCATGTGACTATGTTCTTCATTAGTAAGTTTATATTCCTTAAAGGTGTTTAGGTCAAAAGGTTTCTTAGACTTTAATTGCTCATAAATTTTTCTCACCACAGATTCTGGTGGCTTATACGCATATATCCATCTGACACATTCTTCTCTGATTTCCCACATAAATTTTTCTTCCTGGCGATTGTCTACTCCCCCTTTGAAAATGTCTTGTCCCTGTTGATCCTCACTAGGTTTACACCAAAGGCCATGTCTCCCCGTATATTGCCCTCATTTTCCGTACCATCCAGAGAAAATTGTCCCCTTTCAGTACCAGTTAGTGTACTAGCATCATACCCAGACATTTTTCTCTCATGTTCTTTGATTCTTTCTTTTTCTTCTCGCTCATATGCGCGAATTTCTTCTTCTTCTGCGCGAACCTCTTTTTCCCTATTAGCTACCCATTCTTTAGCTTCCTCCCCTTCTAATCCCAAATCTATTGCCATTTGTTTAATTTCGGCAATAGTAGGTAACGACATTTTTATATCTAAGTCTTATGTGTACAAAAAATTTACAAATAGAAAATGGATCAAATGAAATGAGTAATAAAACAATAGAAATTGCAAATCTAATAGCTAAATAATTTACTTAAAATAATTACTTGTGATGGTTCTCTTGATGGGTGGCACTGGGATTTCGGACGTATTGAGAAGTATAAGCCATGTGTTCATGTGTATTCTCGTAGGTAGATAGGGTTGGAATGTCTGGTGTCTCCAATAATCCAATGTCACTAAAAGTTAGGGTTGGTAAAGCTGTATGGCTAGTTTGCACGGCTTTCCCATGGACTGGTATGGCCGTGATGATTGTTTTGACGTGCTGGTGTGGCTGGTTGGTCAGGCCCCCTCTGTGATGAATGGTAGGCTGGTAGGATTCTTTGGACGATATGATGTTGCTTTAACGGCCTCCACTGTGGTGGATGGTCTGCTATGGTTTGTTTGGACTTAGCATAGCCCTTGAACCACATATCAAATGATGAGCTGGCATGGTTGGATCATGCTCCCACGGTGGCTAATTGCAGGCTTAGATGGCTGCTCCACTGTGGTGGATGGTTAGGGTTGATATGGCTGCATCGAACGGCCTTCCCTGTGGCTGATGGTAGGCCTGGATGGTTCTTTGATGTGCCGCAACGACGGCGAGTGGTAGGTTTAGATGGTTACTCCACTGTAATGGATGATTATGGTTGAAATGGCTGCTTCGACAGCCTTCCCTGTGGCTGGTGGTGGGCTGGGATAATGACTTTGATGTACCTCAACGATGGCGAATGGTAGATTTGTATGGCTAATCCACTGTGGATTGTTGGTAGACTTGGATGTTTGCTCCACTGGTGGATGGTAGACTTGGATGGTTGCTTTGATGTGCCGCGACGATGGCGAATGGTAGATTTGTATGGTTAATCCACTGTGGATGGTTATGGTTGATATGGCTGCTTCAACGGGCCCCCACTGTGACTGATAGTAGGTTTGGATGGTTGCTATTATTTGCCGCAACGATGGCGAATGGTAGGTTCGGATGGTTACTCCACCATGATGGATGGTTGGATGATATTGCTCCTTCGACGGCCTCCCACTGTGACGTGACGTACGTTGTCTAGGGGTCGGTCCCCTGCGTACTAGCCACAGAACAATTTTCAAGGGTCTAGAACCCCTGTTGTCTAGCCCCTACAGAGCTGCTGTGCTGAATAGTCCAAGTATTTATTAAAACAAACGATGCAAAGCTTCAGGGTTCATATGATTTATTGCCTCCATCTTCCTGACAGTGGAAAAATGCATAGTAAACATCCGATGGTTTTCAGAATACAAAATTTGCGTCCAGAAAAATGCTGCACATAATATGAAAAATATATTTATAGAAGTCCTCTGCCATCCATGGAAAAATCTCCCTCAACAAACTAACGTCCTCACATCCAAGCCACCGCGTTCGCCACAGTCACGCTCTCTGAAACTCACCTCCCCTTTTTACACACTCCTCCCCTTTTTACACACTCCTCTCATCACTTGGTTCCTCCCGACACAGCACACCGGTCATACCTGACCGAGAAAAATCAAAACTCGTGGGGCACACGGGGAAAAGAAACTCCCCCACGATTGGTCAAATTAACATCATAAAAGCTGACACAGAAAAACTCACGCGATCTGACCGTGACAGTTCACACTGAGATTGGCGCACTTAGTTTATTGCGCTAAACCGGTTTTATTTTTAATAGGGCGTGTAAATTACAATCGACTGCGTATAACCCTGAGAGTTATACGCAGTGGGCAAGTCACGTGATGTCTATATGTGTCCTGTGTCACAATATCAATCGATAAAGGTGCCCCGTTATTAGATTGACTGGGTGGTCGAATGGTCTAAACTGAGCAAACCTCAAGTTGGCGGACTTGAGGTCAATTCCAGCTGAAGGTAACCATGAATACGTGTTAGTTGTTATGCTTGTTCTCGAGAATGAGGCAAAAACAGCTAGGCTTATTGTTTTATTTTGTTGTGGCTAAAACATGTTTAAACATGATACGAATTATTAACTTGACCAATGTAACGTTAATAATGTTATTCTTATAACTATCATATTATATGTTTGTGTTGTTAACAAATTTTGTGGCAGATAAAAAATGTTTCTCTGGTACAGTAATTATAATCAGGGGTGGTGAGTAGCAGAAAAAAGAGCTGTAGGGGCAGGGGGTTCTGTAGAGAGGGCACTGTATGTAAGTAATACTTTCAAACAGTTATAGTTTTGCATGGAAGCTGAAAACTGTTACATTTAAGTCACCAAAAAAAAATAATCATAAATTATATAATTTTTAAAAATAAATAGAATGTATTTCCTGAATTAGTCAGTAAAACCAACCACATGGACACGATGGTCATAGCAACATATAAAAACCTAATCAATCAGAATACAGAACTAGACTTAGACCATGGAAATGCCTTTTAAAAAATCATCTTCTCAGGCTTAGACTCTAACTCTAAGAAATGTAGACTTTGACTTAGACTTATAATTATAATATATAAGATACAAGCAATAATACTAATAATAGCACTAGACTAATACTAATACTATTGCTATCATTCAATATTAATTAAAATTAATTCAATTAAAATTTTACGTTAAACACATCAAAAGTTCTAGTTCAAAACAATCCATCATGCAGCTCATTACGCATAATACTTTTTTTCTAGATTGCCAAACTAGCGATTGATAAACCTTATTTGGCTAAACTCCCAGCCGACTGTGTATAACGCTTCCCAATTACAATTAGTTGACGAATTTCAAAATTTACTCGCTTTGTGTGCGAATTGGCTTCAGGTGGCACGTTTTATAATGGGGTGGACAGAGATCTGACATTAATAATAGCTGCCATCTGTGTGCATTGTTAACAAGATGTGCAAAGTTGAAGGGATGCATATGCAGAATAGCATATGAGATGCAATATTAAAATAAAATATATGAATTTATACGACTGCGATCTAATACGATGTTGTCGGAAAAGTACATTATAATATCAGTTGCTGCTGTTAATCGTACATTTATCTTCTCACCTGTGACCTATAACAGCATGTGGCAATAAATTGTGCATCAGTCATCGCCCCCGGGAAGGAATGAGTGGGGGTAGAGGGGGTGACAACGGTAGCTATTGGACCTTTATGTACTGTTCTGGTGACACGGTAATTAAAGCAGTTAATCGTGAGTGTTACGTGATGATATAATAGAATGTGCGAGTGCTAAATACAGACGAGAGTCAAGTATAGAGTTGTACCTTCCCCACCGTGTTACAAGCTGAAAATGTATTTAGAATTTACCTTCCCAAAACCAATGTTCACAACCGTGTACTCTACCCCACCCTTTCCTAACTTTTTGAAGAGAAAAAATGGCAATGTAGGCGCACTTAATCATCATCATTCACCGTTACCGCTCATTCGCTGTGCTGAATCGGTTGCCTGCGTGAAGTAGGCCAACTGGTTAGTTCATCTGCTTGTTGCATGCATCGGCACAGCATGTTTGGTCGGTGTATTTCTGTAGGCCTGACGTTATTTACTACCTTTCGTCACGCATAACCGCATGCAGTCAGTGTTTCTTTCAGACATTTTTTCCCGGGTGGAGGGAGGGCATTTCAAAATTATTATTTTTCGGGGGGGGGGGGGGGGGGGGCAGTGCCAGTGACCAGAGGCGTAGCTAAGAGGTGGCAGGTGGGACATACGTCCCGGACCGCCATACCTGAGGGGGAACCAAAATGGGATTTGATGGTATGAAAGGAAAATAATTAGTTTCAGAGTTAAGGGGGGGAAGGGGACGTAAAAATAAATCACACCTCTTGACGCCAAACACTATTAGCTGGGCCCCTTCCAGTGGCATAAAAAGGGGGAGGATAAGGTTGTTCACCCAGTTCTCAAGTTCGGACAACTGCAGAGTTTGTATCGTGAAAGGGAGAGCGGCCAAAATATTTGGCCCCCATGGCAACACTAATATTAGATACGCCTCTAGGAAATGTATCTATGGTCAACAAAATTAGCGACCATTTTCATAGGGTTGTGGGGTAGAAATGGAGGGCGTCGATGAATCTTGCTTTTATAGTACCAGTATAGACAAAGATAGTAAAGGTAAACTCAGCCAACATTGAATTTGAAGAAGATTTGAGTACTAATTGTTACAAAAAATTGCTACAAAACTATTTTGATGTGTTGTAATTAATTAATGTACTGACCCAATTATTAAAAGTATTGGGTTTGAAATGTTTAATGTTTGTATTAACAAACAAAGGTCCCTTTCCTCTACGTAAGATTAGTACTGCTATTATGGTTATGTCTAGGGTACGATTAATTTCCTGATGAAGTATTCTACACTAATCCTACTTCACACTCACTCTATCATTCAAGGAAAACTCTCACTAGCTCTCACTTGCAAGTCTATTAATACTTAAACTATACTAATAACACAAGAGTGGTTCAGCCCACAAATAAATATTTAATTATATAAAAAATAGAACTATCAGCATACACATTACATAATATACTATACACAAACAGGATAACAAGATACTGCCCAATATTATTGCATAGTAGGCTCTCAATGGCGATCTGGTCAAATAAGTAAGTCCCACACACACACACACACCACAGCAGCCCTCTGCTCGGGTCACAACGTACTGCGGGGTTGGGCGGCTTGACTGCGTAAGTGTCTCCGGTCACTGGCACTGCGAGGAGGTAGGTGCCGACTTTGAACTTTACTGTGGGTAACACACACACAGTATATGCTACCGTCTTGTTGATTCCTTTGGCTTATCTCCTGCTAATAACTGCGACTCCTTTACTGAACTGTACTAGCTTTAGTTCCAGATATTATTTATTGAACTAGTACACCTCTGACCAAATATTTACTTTACAAATACTTTCTGGTCAAATATTCTTTACTGGCCAAATGTTACATACTGTAACTTATTTCATGTAATTTCTTCACTTTACGTAACTTCAGTTTACTTCACTTTACGTAACTTCAGTTTACTTCACTTTACGTAACTTCAGTTTACTTCACTTTACGTAACTATACTTTACTTAACTTTACTTAACTTTACTTAACTGGCTAGAAATGAGAATAATAAATACAATGCATAAGACATAGCTAAGAATTACAAATCACATCACATTATAAATTATTAATAGTTATCATATTCAAACATTAACAATAGTAACTATGGTCCTACCATTTTCTTAATAACATTACATCTACGACTCTACATACCAGTACATATGAATATGAAATAGAACAATACTAACCCGACACAATCGGATAAACACACTTTATCAGCTAATTATGCCAGCCAGGCTCTTCTGACATAATTCAGGTAAGAGAGGCCGATACATGATTTGGGCTTTCAATATATACTCTAAGTTTGGCGTGCTTGTCCCGCATTTAAGCGTGGCATCCCAGAGTCGTGTTTAAATGACTCACAAGCGTGGCTTCGGATTCCGTTACGCGTTGGTCATCAGAGTGACAACTCAGAGTTGGGACGCTTGATAAGAATGAGTGTATTGCTTAAACTGGGTCATGGCCAAAGTGAATAAGTTCATTTCCATTGTTATTTGAGTCTACTTGTATTATTTTAAGGCCCAGCCTAATTGTGTCATATCGCGTGGGGTAGCGATGAACGCGTGGGGTAGCGCTGGAGAGAGTGGAGCCAGCGGGTCTCACAAAGGTGAGGACCAGCGGTTCTCAACACTAATCTGGAGAATAGCAAGCAAACGGACGTGCTGCTGATGGACTTCTCAAAGGCATTTGACCGTGTAAATCATAGTTTGCTTTTACACAAACTTCAGAAATATGGGATCCAAGGCATTACTAAAACATGAATCTCTAGCTATCTCAGCAACCGATGCCAGGCAGTAGTGGTGGACTGTACAAACTCTTCTTTTGTTGGTGTTAAGTCAGGGTTCCCAGGCCTCGGTGCGAGGCCCCTGTTTATTCCTGGCATACATCAATAACATACCCAAAAAACTGGCATGCCAAGCAAGATTGTTCGCAGATGACACGGTGGTGTCAAACATAGGACGATGGCCAACATTTCTGACCAGGACCAGCAACAACAGGATCTCTATTGGTTAGCTAAGTGGGAGATGAGATGGGACATGGAATTTCATCCTGTCAAGTGCCACTGTCAGTCTCTAGAAGTTGTACTCTACACCACCAGTACGAACTGCATGGCACACTTAAGCAGTTTCTTTCGTAAGGTACCTCGGTGTTACCATTCAAAGAGATTTCCGCTGGGATAAGTATATTAATAATGCGTGCAATCAGTCAAATAGACCCTTGGGTTCTTAAGGCGAATTCTAAAGATCGGCAATTCCAGTGTGAAAGAAAGAGCCTATAAAGCCTGTTTCCGGCCACTTTTACTTTTAGATTACGCATCTTCAGTCTGGGACCCATTCACCCAGAGGAGCATCGACAGGTTGCAGGGGCTCCAGCGACGGGAAGCACGCTTTTCCTGAACCGCTACAGGAATACCGGTTCCTCACGTGATGGCAGCATACTTGAAACACTGATCTGGTTACCATTGGAGGAACGACGACGACTATCCAGATTCGCCATAATGTACCAAATAAATAATGGGCTGGTCCATGGAAGCCATGACAGACAGTTCCAGCTCATACCAGCAAGAAGCCAGTACAGGAACTGCTCATTCCTGCCAAAGGCAATCAGGTACTGGAACAAGCCTCCAAAAGGAACAGTTGAGGCGACAACCCCTGGCACATTTGCGTTAATTGCCTTAGGCAATCCAACTCCTAGTTCATGATACCCTCGCTGAGTAGCCCTTGCAATCAATGAAGTATCCTCTTCAACACCAGTAGACCTGCCAACCCTTCCGATTTTGTCGGAATAATATGGATTTTTTACCCTTCATTCCGACCTTCCAACAAACCCCTTAAAATTCCGATTTTTCGGACTGCATAAGTATAATTTTTCACCGGTCATAAAAATCCGATAGCGTTTCTTCCCCCCCCCCTTATAAAAAAGGGGGGGGGGGGGGGGGGAATCAGGAAGTGTTGTAGTTGTTTTTACGAAGTGTCTACATGTCAGACGACCGGACGAATAAGTGAATAAGTTCTCAAGATATTCGTCCGACTACTATATATTTGACCAAATCACATGACCAGCTAACAAAGTTGCAGGAGATATGTGTCCGTCAGCCTTGTCATGTGACTGCTAATTGTCGATCAGAGTTTACAGCACTTCATTTCAACAAATTCAAGAAAGTCTGAACATTTACATGAAAAAGAAATATGTTCAATTCTACAAAAGAAATACTAGAACCATTTCTGGTATATAATGAACAATTGGTTAAAAAGTGACAATGCTTTTTTTATAAAGCATTGCATGCCCACCAGATGAATATCTCCCGCACTATTTGTTCGGTCGCCTGACGTGTAGACACTGATTTGTTTTTATCGAAGATAACCGCAATCTCCAAATCATTTTTTAATCATCAATTGATCCGATCGGCTAAAAAATAATTCAGACTTTTTTTGTTAAAGCTTTTCTCAATTAAATGGTTAAATATATTGAAAGTGGTGGGTACAATGATATTAATAAACATATTAATAAACAAATGCTGTAACAAAAAAACAAAAAACAAGCAATATACAACTGCAACTAAAAGTAAAAGTAATCCATTCCATGTCTAATTTTTTAAAAATTCATTGCTAAGGAATCGGACGATCAGATCGTTTTATTTACCACCTTTCTTATTGAAGGAAATATTTGTCTAGCCAATACCGGTCGTTTTAATGCCAGAGTCAAAGAAATGTTCCCAGTCTCGCAGATTTCTATAAGATTGTAAAGAAAAATTACAATGAAACAAGGGCAAGCATGAAAGTTGGTACTCTTTCTAAATTGCTTGTAACTAAAATCAATTGCAATGCTAACCTTCAGTTGTCGAAAGAGCTGTTGGACAAGTGCAAAAGGGCCACTAGGAACTAAGAATTAGTAGGAATATGCTGGAAAACTGAACTCTTAACAGCCTGTTTACATATGTAAATAAAATGGATCTTCTGTCCTGTACCGTATATATCTGTATATAAACATTTCCAGTCAGTGGACTCTTCAAAGACAATGGAGGTAACTTTATATTTCTTTATTTACTAAAAAAGCTTGTACATTAGTTTATAGATATTAAACCAACGGCCCCCGGGCGCCGGCCCTGGGGGGCAGCGACCCCCCTGCATGCACCCCCCTACAGATTTTTCTCTTGGCAGCTCTGCACCAGGCACAGAAACATTGCAAATCCCATCTTCATGCATAGGATCCAGAATGATCAATAAATTGATTGTGGGCCCTTAATATTATATAGAAGAAGAAGAGCATATCTCTCTGGTAGGCTTTGCACTGGAAGAAGTGGAGGCTTTCACATACTTAGGCAGCACCATTGACTTAAATGGTTGATCCAAAGTGGATGTGAGGGCTAGACTCGGAAAGGCTAGGTCGGCTTAAAGAAAATATGGGATTCAAAGGAGCCGACTCTTCAAACCAAAGTCACAATTTTCAACACAAATGTCAAAATAGTCCTACTTTATGGAGCCGAAACTTGTAGAACAGGGAGCATTATGCAGAAAGTACAGACTTTCATAAACACTTGCCTTAGAAAGATCCTGAACATCAAATGGACAAACAACATCACCAATATAGACTTACTAGAAAGGACATACCAGGAGCCTATTGCTGAAGACATCATAAGGAAAAGATGGAAGTTGGTAGGGCACAATCCATAAACCTCCAGATAACATCACCAGATAATCCCTAACGTGAAATCCACATGGAAAAAGAAAAAGAGAAAGCCCAAAAAATGCATGGAGAGGGGGGGGGGCATTATGAAGCCAGGGCCATACATAAACTTAATTCACACAGGTTGTGGCGTGCCCTAGGGTAATCATGTGGAACAAGATAATATTCAATTTCCAGATAACATCACCAGATAATCCCTAACGTGAAATCCACATGGAAAAAGAAAAAGAGAAAGCCCAAAAAATGCATGGAGAGGGGGGGGGGGGCATTATGAAGCCAGGGCCATACATAAACTTAATTCACTCCAGTTGTGGCGTGCCCTAGGGTAATCATTTGGCACAAGATCATATTCAATCTTATACTGTTACATTGATCATCGTTGGGGGAGGGGTGTAGACATTGAGGGTGGTGAAGACAGTCGCACAAATTCAAAATGCAGGAGTGCATTTTTGGCGCATACTTGAATTTGGTGTTTCTTTCAAACAACTTTCAGGTGACATTTCAAAATTTTGCGTGGGAAGCGCCAAAATTAGCCATAATTATGACAACATAAACATCGCAACAGCGGGACATGAACTAAATTCATTCCAGTTGTGGCGCCCTTGAGGGAATGCATTTACCTAGCTTAATATTGCCTATTAAAACTTTATTGTCCCTAGAAAATATTTTACAAATTCAAAATAACGGAATTCATTTTAGCAAATACTTTAATTTGTCAACATCCTACACTTTGAGAGCAACGGAAGAATGAAGAGGTCACTTAACCTTAGAAACATCGTGTAGGCTCAGCAAACCCCATGACTGCAGTGGGCCTCGGATATTTTTTATAGGGCTTAAAGATGTGATGTGGATATTTTCTTACTTATCATCATTCAGTGCAAGGTGGGGGAGGACAAAACCAAAAAGTGGCCTCGAAAAGTCGAGTGACAGCACTGCCTGACGTAGTTGTGTTATGCAAATATTTTTTTTTATTACCGGTACTAAATAGTGTCGCTTTCATTTTTTATTTAAACCTTTTTGGGGGTTATCTACATAGTTAATAATCTAAGTGAATTATTAAAAAAAAAAAAAAAACAGTTTCCATCACTAAAAAGCACTGCTAACATCATTTTATATGTTAAGCATAAATGAAAAAAAAACAACTAAAATAATCAATGATGTGAAATAATTACTTTTACTAAATATTTCCAAGTTTTACCAAAGTCAAAAAGAAATTAAAAAAACTGTTAAGTAGAAAGGCCTATGCATTTTTAGGGGTTATCAAAACTAGACATTTTTATAAATCGTATACTAACGGTATTATTATGTACCGAAGACATGATTTGTTTAAAAAATAGTAGAAATTTCCCAATATTCAGTAGATTGCAATTTTGATTTGGAATTTCAAACTACTACACTATAACTTTATTAAAGATAAATTGCAAATTGCCACAAATGGGGCAGTTTGTTTATTATTATAATATTAAAAAGACAAAAGCTGGTTGGAATTTAATAAATATAGGCTAATTTTTTGTAAACGTTTTATTCAGGAAACTTTGTTAAAAACTTAGGACATTTAAAGAAAACACTAAGGCTTTGGATATAAAAATTAATAAAATGTGCACTATTTGTATGCATGCGTTAAATTCTTAATTAAAAAAAAAATATATATCTCAATTTTTTAAGTTTCCATTTTATACAATGCAACAATCATGGAATTGAGTACATTTTTAATTATGCTAATAAAAAATTTTTAGAGCCTAATATCATCATACAATTTATAATTAACACTTACCGGGTATACCTACTTAAAAAGTAATGCTTTTACAATGAAATATAAATGGAACATAGACTGCGTATCTTTGATACTTGGCAAGAACTATTATTAGAATTGTAGTCTTTGAACTTGATGTAAAGGTATTTTAACACAATGTTGTTAAAGTCTTAAAATTTGTGAATTTGCAAAAAAAATAAATGAATAAAAATATTGATAAGTGCGAACAACAGGAAGTTAGATTTCAGCATATAATCAGAAGTGGCCAATACGATATTTATAATTGAATACTGTAAGCCTTTGACAAGATTAGCCTTAAATATACCGATCATTAAATATATGGAGTAGGGTGGCCCAAAAAACTCAACTTTCACCTACAGAGCAAGACACCCTCTAACTTTTTTCCTTATAGCAAACCTTTAATTAGGGCAGAGTTTCAGCCTCTTGTGCCAACTGCAAGGTGATGCTCAACGACCATGGATTTTCAAAATTTCTTCGAAAATTTCCAAACTTTCATGCAATTTACATTTGCATATTTACTTACTGTATCATGTTCTTTGTGTTATATTTTACTTACTTAGGGTTGGCTGATTTACTATTCTATGTCATAACTTCCTGTTTAGTGTTACTGTCACAGAGCTAAGTTGAGTTAAGGGAGTTAAGTGAGGTGAGAATTATGACTTATAATTTATAGAGTATGGAACTTGGTAAGACGAACTAATCAGAAAAAAGAATGGAAGAAGAGTACAACGGAAGATGGAATCATGGCGGTTGTTTTAAGTCCATGCTATTAATATATTAATTATGTGACGATGAGTACATACCGACCAAAACTAGCAAATCAGGTAAACAGCATGACAAGATAACTCAAGTAAAGAAAACCTCTCGAGACCAATTGTTCAATCCAAGTGTAACAAGTGCCTTTGACAGTAATAAAACATCTGATCGTGAAGCTGTTCGGCTACTTATTCCTATTGCTGCAGCCCTTGGTCACGATCCAAATGCACTTCCTATTTCACGTAGCACTATTCAACGAGCGCGGTCAAGTGCTAGGCATGAAATTTCTAAAGCAATGAAAGATAATTTTGAGCCAACATGCCCATTAGTTATCCATTGGGATGGAAAGATACTTCCAGCAATATTTGGGGAAAGCTCAGTTGACAGGCTACCAGTTTTAGTTACAGGTGATGGGATGGACAAACTGTGCCAAAGGTGAGCTCTGGAACTGGTGAGAATGAAGTAAATCCTGTTCACAAATTGTTGGTGGAGTGGCAGCTGGTTGAGAAGGTTCAGGCTATTTGCTTTGACACAACCTCAGTAAATACCGGCAGAATAAATGGAGGATGTGTTGGCCTTGAAAACAGGCTAGGTCGTGAACTTCATTGGTCAGCCTATCGTCATCATGCAATGGAGATCATCTTGTCAAAGGTTTTCACCATCTGCTGTGGACCTTCAAACTCCCTAGATAACCCGCTTTTCAAACGAATCAAAGGCTGTTGGATTGTCATCACCAGGCAGAATTTTTCAGAATTCCAGGTGACACCTGAAGCTTCCAGTTTATCAGATGGAATCATTGCAGTCCTGACCAAAGAGCACCTAAAGGAACAAGTCAGGGATGATTATATGGAGCTTATTGAGTTGACTCCGATTGTTTTGGGATATCCACTGTAGGGCTCCAGGACCAGTACATCGTGCTCGCTGGATGCCAAAATTAATTTATGCCATGAAAATATATCTCTTCCGCAACCAAACAGATGTATTCAAGCTTACAAAGAAAGAAGAAGCCCAAGTTGAGCGCTTTGTTAAGTTTGGTGCACTAATTTACACCAAGCATTGGGTAACTGCTCCCCGTGCAACTGCTCCCCGTGCAACTGAAGCTCCATCCAGTGATTTGCAGCTGTGGACTGATCTCAGCAGTTACCAGATCATCGATCCTGACATCAGTACAGATGCAAGAAAAGTCCTGGAAAATCATCTCTGGTATCTTTCAGACGAGCTTGTTGGATTAGCCCTGTTCTCAGATCATGTGACAGCAGCTGCAAAGATGGGAATTGTGCAGGGAATGACCTGTGAGGCTGGCGAATGAAAAGTGCGTGGAGATTCATCAATTCTAATGAAACCAGATGTATGTTTAGGTGACTTTGCAACTTCCAGAACAGGGAACCTTCTTTGTTGTCATAACATTCACAGCGCCTTTCTTGATTTGCCACCACAAGAGTGGCCTGCAAGTAAACAGTATCGATATGGCCAGACACGATTCAAGTTATTACGTGTTGTGAACGACACTGCAGAGCGAGTGGTGAAGCTTTTTGAAGAATACAACACACTGCTTACTAACGACGAAGTAGAAAAACAACTCTTATTGCAAGTACTGGAAGCAAACCGCAAGGCTGTTCCAACACAAATCACCTAAAAATCTGCTGTTCAGCCCTTAATGTCAGAATGACAATAACATTGACTGATAATGCACGCTTTTGTGACTTGAATCTGAGTTGGTTAAATTTTCAATTTTTTTGATGGCACAGCACAATTTTACCTTTTAACTGTGACAAATGCAAATAACCATATGTTTAAGCTTAGTGGTTTATTTTCAAAAGAGTGTTGAACTGCTGATATTAAAAAGCTATTGCTGGTTGTAATTTTAAAACATTCAACATATGCGTACCGGTATTGCTTCATTTTGCTTGAATTTCGTAAAATTTGGATATTATATTGCTCTTGGGCACTGTCTTGAAATTAGAATTTAAAGCTAAAACTTTACCAAAAGATTACTATTAGCAGGTGTAAAAACTTGGGAGGGTGTCTTGCTCTATAGCACACATTTCTTTTTTTGCTATATCTCGATGAACCACCCTAATATGGAGGATAGGGATATTTAATAGATTCCACTAATTGTAATGGGATCAAGGCACAAAATAATATTCTTTTTAAAACTGTTTAAAAATGACAATATAGTTGTTTTTAATTTAAAAAATAAATAATATTATTGTTTTTACCCATTTTGCTCCCCCCTCCCCCCAACGAGATTCCTGAAAGAAACCCTGCATGCAGTGAACATCATGCAAATTAACTGCCTATGTAAAACTATGCGGTAATATATTCACAAAGATGTAAACCCTATCACTTCTCTTCCAATAAAAGACCTCAATAATTTTTTCAATCCTATATATTTTTAAAGACTTTCTTTCTACCCAAAAATCCATAGGTCCATCAAGTTTGTTTGAAGCATAAAATTGTGTTATCCCATTACGCTTGATCATGTCTGCCTCGTGCTAACCTGTACAGGTGCAAATGAGTTGCTGAGCAGAGTGCATGTTGTCATATAGGAAGATTGATTGTGCAATAAAGAATTGTGTGGCCTTAAGTCACTTTTCCCAGGCTTTTCTAAGCTTTCATTCTTTAAAAAAGGAAATAATTCCTCTTTTTTTCTGCATAAATTTAAAGATTGCAATTTTAATACTACAAAGTAGAAAATTTTTTAAAATCTTTTAAAAAAACATCAGAGATGAGTTTAAATGCACTAAAAAAAAATATATATTTTATAAAATTTCTTAAAATGCATTACCCAAAGAAAGTCTGTTCAGAGAATATTTAAAAAATTAATTTTTAAAAAATAAGCATAATTAAGTTTTTTCTACATTTAATTTGAAACCTTTGACTTCATGGAGTGCCTTTCAGTCTACACTTCTGCACACAGGCTTTCTAAGTTATTGAGTGTAAAAAAGGTGTAATACATTTTAAGAAATTTTAAATTATTTTCTAATTTTATTGCATTTAAACTTGTCTGATAGAAAGGCTCTTTTAAAATACTTTTTAAGACTTTCTTTAATTTTTAGCCACAAATTCATTGAGTTTGTTTGTAGAAACAAACTTTGTTGTCCCATGGGACTTTCTCGCCAAGGTGGATTGCATCTGCTTGGTGCTGACCAAGAAGGTCGCATCTGACTTGCTGACAAAGACTGGGTACAAAATGGGGGTGGGGGAGTGGTGTTGAGTGATGTGGAAATAAGAAAAGGTGATTTAAAAACAACAATCCTACCGCCTTTCCATTCCAATCACCATCTTCCTAATTTTTGCTGTTTGGAGTGGGGTTAGTGGAAGGGGCAGGGCATTTAAGCAATAGACTTAACCAACAGATGGCAAGTGACCATGGGTATAAAACACACTGTGGTTAAATTTTAATTTTTAGTTTTATGCTCAGGTATAACATTAAGTCACCTTAACTGGTATTCTTTGTTTAAAACAAATTTCTTCTGATGATAATTTACATATTAAAATTTTGATACCTTACTAAAAAGAAGGGGAAGAAAAAAAATTCCTTTTAAAATTGACTTTCTTTTAAAAACAATTTTAAATGCACTAAAAGGTAGAAAATAATTTTAAATTCCTTAAAATGCATTACATAAAGAAAGTCTGTGCAAAACAGATATTGAAAAAATTTAGTTTATAAAACATTTAAATTTCTTTCACATTTAATTTGAATCCTTTGGCGTCATAGAGTGCCTTTCTATCATTCTGCACAGACTTTCTTTGTATAATACATTTTATGAAATTTTTTCTTGTTTCTCCTTTTTAGTACATTTAAACTTGTCTTTAAAAAAAAATAAAAAAATAAAGTCTTTTAAAAAGTTCTTAAAATATTTATTTACCGGTATATCACATGGATAAATAGTAAACTTTTGTTATCTCTCTCAAGACTCGCAAGCCAAATTTTTATTGGAACACTTTACCTGTAATGCAGATAAACAATTTATAGTTATGTAACCTATTGAGAAAGTTTTACTCCTTTTATTTATTTTCTCTAAGTGCAAACAGCACCCCACAAAAAAAAAAAAATCCTGATCAGCATCCCTTACACCAGGTGTAAACAATATTGAAGGGATTAGTTCCCTTGTTCCCAATTCATGTGTTGTGAAAGGGTTTTTGTGATTGACGGAAACATTGATTTTAAAACAATATTAATCCTTGTCTTAAATTTTGAATACTCATTCACTCAATACTCAAAATCCCTCTGAGTGTATTTTCAAGGCTTCTTCATTTGAAAAAAAAAATTATTGGGAACCTTTGAATTAGTTTCTTATGTAGGACACATTGCCAACTTATATTACCTTGATGCATGACATTTCTCATGTAGGCTACCAAGCCAATTTGTGTTGCTCTAATGCCTGCCATTCTCTGATTGAATGTCAAAAAAATCATAAAACATTAGTTTATTTTCTCTGTGCTTGTCAGGTAATCCAGTAACATCCTTTATTGTATTCACTTTCTTTAACCTTCCCTGTGTAATTCTGTAACTTTGAGAACTTGGCAGACAAGAAAACTGCATTTTTTTAAAATTGTGCACCATGTTTTTAATGAAAAAAGAATATTTCCTTACTATTTAACATCTTCTCTTCCAGGGGGAAGTTTGCTGTGGTGAGAAGATGTATAAATAATGCCACAGGGGAAGTTGTGGCAGCTAAAGTCATCCGCAAACGGCGCAAGGGTAAAAGCTGTAGAGAGGAAATACTTCGGGAGGTGGTCATGCTGGAGCTTGCTATGGCCCATCCAAGACTTGTCTCACTCCGAGAAGTTTTTGAGACTCAGTCAGAATTAATACTAGTCACTGAATAGTGAGTCCCATTTTGTCCTGTATTACTGGAAACTATGAATTGTGTTTTTGCTGTCCTGTTTTATATATTATGCCTGTTTACCGTTAATAGCATGAATGTTAAGTTAAATTAGTATGTAAGGCTTCATTACCAAATAAATTACCCCTAATCATATTATGCTTTAAATTTGAAAGTTTCATATGCAACTTATGGGGATATTATAGGCCTCTAGTGTCAGAATGAAGTCTAGTATTTGAAAAGAAACTGTAGTCACCAGTTACAGTTGTGGAAAAGAGAGACATTTAAGTGAAAAGAACATCTGAATTTTTTATACAGTTGTGTATGTACAGAGTTTAAAAAGTCTTTTGTCTGTGAAGTCATGACTAGAGTTATAAACTACAGCAACTCTATGCCCATGACAATAAATATGGAATTGCAACGCATTCAGTAATGCTAATATGCTTTGAAGTAAAATGAGCATTTGATCTTTAGTTAAAAACAGGTATTCAAATCAGCAAAGAATTATTTGTAAACAGATAATTTATTTTGTTATTGTTTCCCATTTTAAATACGTAAAGTACCAATCATTAGTAAAAAAAATATCATATAAAATAAATCTAATAATTAACATTACATTTAAATTGATGCTTGTTTTAAAAAAAATTAAATTAAACTAAACGTTTTTTAATAAAGCTTTATCTGCATTAGTGTCTTTATGGATTTTAAGAAATACTCTTAAATTGTATATTAATGGGCTGAAGTTGAGCTCCTAAACAGTTGGTCTTGGGGCCCCCCCACCCCAAAAACCAAGTATATTTGCATGACTCAATTTCATTTTAAGGAACACTTATTTTTTTTAAAGGTAAATTTCACCTTGAAAGTATTAGAACTTATTTCATTCAATATGGTTCCACTACAATATTCTTCTAGTCAGTAGGAGTTATGCATTCTGCTTTGACACTTTGGATTGCACCTCTCATATGGCACTGGCATTACTTTGTTAACATCAGTAGACTTGGGATAAGTCCTTTCTTTTAGTCAGCTCTTTTCATGGCATTATAATTTTTTGACAGAAAGCAATTTATTTATATTTTTGGGTCAGATTTCTGAAATTTGGTCCTACTGGCGGATTTCAGCAACAAATCAAAGCAGAATGGCAAGTGTCATATGACAGAGAATACTGGGCTAAATGGTTGACTGCTTATTCAACTTCAAACTATTTTTCTATATTACTTTGTAAACTTTTTTCTATATATTTCGGCAACTGAAATGATTTGATTAAATTTTTTATAATTTTCAGTTGTTCTGGAGGTGAACTCTTTGATGAATGTGTTATCAAAGAATCTTTTAAGGAAAATGATGTCAGAAAGCTTCTTGTCCAGATTTTAGAGGGTTTGGCTTATTTGCATGACAACAACATAGTTCACCTTGATCTCAAGGTAATTTCAAGAAACATTTTTACTCTTTTACATTGTCTTTATATTATAAATCAAATGGCTTCCACGACTGTGCATCACATGCTGACCTTCTTTAAACCCACAAAAGTGTCACAAATCCTGGGGAATACCTTTCAGTATGGAACATCTAAATAATTTGTTGTTTTTTTTAGGTCAAAACTTATACTATCCTAAAAGTTTCTGCTAAACTAATGATGTAGAAAAGACAACACACTTAGAAAATAGGATTCATAAAATGAAAAAATTAAATTGATTGAACAGTCTCAAACTAAAGTAAGATTGATAAAGGTAACCGACTAAATTTATGAAAATCTCTGCCAGAGTTTGTATAGGTTCCATATCTTATAGTTTGACATTTTCAATATTTGAAAACCTCTTCAACTATATTCAACCTACTTAGTAAACCTAAAATCCCATAAATCCAAAGCTGTGGCCTCTATCTTGGGGATTTATCTGTTCCCTCCACAACACATAAAAAAGTTCAGGCCTATTTTCTTTTTTTGCTAACTCTGCTGAGGATATCCTCAGGAGACTCAGGATGTCCTGAAATTTATCAAATGATGAAGAGGAAAGTGTAAATCTTTCACTACAAATGATTAAATGTGTTAATTAACAAACTTTATTCCCTCAATCTGTGCATCTCATGGGATTGTTTGGTATGATACATGCATAGTCTACATGCTCAATTGCCTATTCCAGAATTTGCACAAATTTCAGGCTAGAATTTATTAATCAGATGAGTTTCATACAATTAGACACTGATTTACACAGAAGGCTTCCAGTAAGGAGTTAAAATATGGCCTCTTGTGTTTCAAAGGAATTTCTTGGTGTAGAAAAAATATTTTAGGTTACAAAATAATTAGTCTGTTGATAAACTATTTTTTTCAGCATAATTGTACATACATTTTTGGTTTTAAGAAAATTAATCTTTTTTTTTTAAATGTATGAAAGAAACGCATTCTGTGTAAGTTTAAATTTTTTATTTTTGTAAAATCCTACTTTAAGTCATAATTGTTTTCCTAATCTTGTCTTTTCTTGATTAATATCAATGTGATATTTGCACAGTACTCCTCATTTAGAAAAAAAGTTGTTTTTGTTGTTTTTTTTTTGGGTGTGGGGGGGATTTGATAGTTTTATTTTGCCCTAGGCAACACAAGATACGCCTCAGAATAAAGAAACGAATTTGATAAATAATTAACACTCTTAAGTACATGCATATCGTAGGTAAGAAATAGGATGTGTACATTTTGACATGGATGACAATGATATTACAGTTGTGAAAAAGAAATGTTACAATCTCTTTTTACAGATAAGCATATGTTTACCAATTAAGAAAATCAATGGCCTTAACAAAACGTGGGTACATTTACATAAGTACACCAATTAATTTCAAAACTCAATAAATTTACTCACGTGAAAATTTAATTTTGAAAAATGGAGATGGGTTAATATTTTCTTTCAAAAATTGAAAATAAATAATTTTTTTCTTTTTACTTTGCGAAAAGTAAAGTGAGTGTATATTGTCATTAGATGTTACAGATGTGAAAAATGGTTAAGAGATTTTTCTTTAGATAAAAGAATTCTTTGTTTTACGATTTTCTGATAACATAGTAGAAAACAGGCAAAAGTTTTGTTAAATTTTTAATGAAAATGAAGTTTTTAGTATATCGAATTCTGTTAAAATATAAAAAAATTAAATGGTACATAAAGTTTTTGTTGTAAATTTAAGAATAGGTTTTCACAATTTTTAGAGGAAAGAAAATTTAGTTTAGGGGCATGAAAAGTGGTAGGTTAGGCCCCATTTAACAATTTCAAAAAAAATTTCATCTAAAGTATCTAGCATAGAAATCATCCATCAATGAACTCCTTTAGTGACAATAGTGATTCATTTAGTGATCAGTTAGATTTGGTAATTTAAGATCATGTTTAGAGAGAAAAAATTGTGGCCCAGGGGTGCGAAAAGGGGTAGGCTAGGAATATTAATATGTAACAGAAAAATTCCTCTTAAAACTTTTAATAAAGTTGGTAAGTAAATATCATGACATAGATACTTCTTTTAAAAATAAGGAATTTGATGACTTTTCGCATTAGCAGGTAACATCAGGTGATTAAATAAAAGAGCTAAGGTATCCATGTAATGCTAAAAAAATGAATCATTTTAAATCCACCCAGATTCTTAATAACAATTATCAGGATTTTCTATTATTATCTTAGGGAAATTGAGAATCAATTTAAATATGATGAAAATAAAGTTGTATGTGTTTTATTTAAGTATGTGTAATTTATTATAATGTAAGTTTTATTAGATTATAAAGTACCAATACATTTAATATAAAAATTAAAGAATTCTTCTTTTTATTAGGATTCAGTGATCTTCTTTGTATTACTGTTACTAATTAATCAACACATTTTTAGGAAAAATTGAAAATCTGTTGGTTTTTACTGCGTAGTTAATATTGCGAATTTAAATTTATGCTAACTGCCCAAATGTCTTTTTAAACAATATCAAATTAATATTTTCCTTTGCATTCAGTGAATAAAAAATTAGAAGACCTTTTAAGAGCTTATTTTATATTTAAACCACCAAATCACAATTTTAATTTTCCTTGATTGTAATTGTGTGTGACAAAACTGAGGTTTCTTTTTTACCCTTTAAAAAAAGTATTTATAACTGATTGCTTTTTAAATTAATACAGCTTAATCTTAAACATTTAATAAGTTTTACTTATTTTTCATTTAAAAAAATTGCATTTATCAAATATATAAAATATTTTTATTAAGAAAATGCATTTCAAGCCACTAAGTGCAATGAAATGTCATTGCCAAATACCACTAACTCACTCACTTATCATTCATCTAAATAACAACAAACCATAGGAAGTTGCAATTGATTCATTTTGATATCAATATCCAAAACCCTTTTTGTTACAGATTTGAATCTTGTTATTGATTTTAATGTTAATACTTAAAACTATAATCATAAAATATACGGAATTATGTGTGGAAATATTTTTTTTAGAAAATGTAAAACAATGCATGGTAAAAGGGGGTGAGACATTAGAATATTAATATAGCTAAATGACATGCAAAAAAAATGTGCGGTTGGACAAATAATAACCTTCTCGGATAAACACATGTCAGGGGGAGAGAAAAGGGTGAGTACATTTTTTATATGCTTGACAATATATTTTTAATCTGATGATTATTACAGTGGTGAAAATGAAATTTATGATTTTCTTTTAAAATGAGTAAATATATGTAATTAAGAAAATACAGTTCAAGGGTGTTGACAAGTTGTGGGTATATTTATATAAATATACCTTTACACACATTAAAATTTAATCTTAAAAATAGAGCCACCTTTTTTTTTTCATTTATTGTTCAGGAGTTAAGACGGGTTAAGATTTTCTTTCAAAATAAGAAACTATATTTGTGTTTCCACTTTGTGCAAAGTAAAGTTCATGGAAGAGTGGGTGTAAATATTTATGAGATTAGTATTTCTAAAAAAAAAACACAAGATGGTAAAGACTTGAAAATTGGTTTGGAGACTCTTATTTAGATAAACGAATTCAGTGTTTTCTGATTTTTAATGAAAATACCAAAATATAAAATTCGGTTATCTTAAAGATATTTAAAATGGTATACAGATTTTTTTTGTTGTAAATTTAAAGACATTTTTACAATTTTTAGAAAAAAATGTGTTGTTTTTTTTTGTTTGTAGTTCAGGGGCATGACAATGGGTAGGCCAGGCCTATATTATATAGCACATAAATATTTCTCAAAACTTAACGATGGTTAGAAACATCAATACATAGATAATTCTTTTTAAAGTGAGGAAAGTCTGATTAAATATTTCCCAAATACACACTTCATGTTCTTAGAATATTGATGCACTTTGTTGTTACTTTTTTTTTTTATGATACAAAACCAGATTTAGTCATTAGCGTAAAAAATTTGAATGTTAGATGTTGAGACTTTGCAATAGCAGGTAGAAAAAATGTGTACCCTTATTACCAGGGTAACATGTCATATCATCACATTTTACTAATGTCAAAAATAGATACAAAATTTAACCTATATAACTATTAATTAGCTCATTTTTCATATAATTTTGCAAATCCATGCAATTCTCCACAATATCACCCATGGGAATATGAAGGGTTGCTAATGCTTCGGTACAATTTTTTATTTAATTTAATAAGATTCTATTACCCTTAAATTTTACAAGTCTTTTAGAATGTATATTTGAATTAATTTTCAAACAAAAAAACCATCAATTCACATCTGTATCTGGTGCAGAAGAATGGATTGTTAAAATGCAAAATTTAAATTAATTCAAATTTATATATCAGAGGCTCAGGTAGGATTGCATTTGATCACAAAGTGCTTCAATATTTTAAGTTATGGCTGCACCTGTCAGATAATAAATGAAGGACCGCGTTCAAGCTGTGTTAATGAAATAGTAGAATAAGGTATGTGGAAGCTTGAATCAAAAGACAGGACAATAAGATGTGAACGTTTCGGCTTAGAGCCTTCTTCAGCAAACAGGACAAATGTAAATACGACAAGAAACAGAGCATAGTAAAAAAAACTTTAGAGATCTTTTTTGTTGCTGGAAGCAGTAGATCATTGTTAGTATTTAGTCTATAGCTGTATATAATAATACAGCAACTTACAATGGTGTTATCGCAAAACATTTAAGAAAATACATAACTTAACTTTCAAGGTATTCATTGGATATGTCAAAGTTAAATTTTATAATGTTTTCCCTATTAATTGTGTTTTTTAGTATTTTTAAATCTCTGCAGTTTATTAAAAACACTTTTTTGTCATTAAAAGATTTCAAAAAGTGTATTTTCCTTCCATAGTAATTTTTCTAAATGAGGGGAAAGTAATCCCTAATACATGTCCACAAATAAATATATATGTATGTATGGAGGAATTAAACTAGCTCAAATAGCTACTGTTTTGAATTATTTCAAGAATACAAAAGTTACCACAGTAGGGTTTAGATTTGATTGTAAAGGGAACCCCAATAAAATAATCTCTTAAGACCAAGGGGGAAAACCATATTAGATTATGAATATTGAGTCATAGTTAACCCCCACCGCCTCCCTTTTTTCCCCCTCTCTCGGGGGGGGGGGGGTTAAGCGTCCTTGTCCAATAGCCCAATGTATTTGTGATTTATAGAAATGCACTAATGTCACTGAGTTCATCAGTTAACATGATAAATCATCACTACTCCTTCTTTGTCTAACTTCTGTTAATGCAAGTGCGGTCACCTTCATGGTAATACAAACCCGAATGACAAAATAAATGATTGTATAGTCTATCTCTGCCCCTATCTATCTGCACCACAGGAAATTTAAATTGCAATGTGCCTGTCAAAGTCTGTCATGCTTGGTTGATTCAGTTATGAAATGTCCTAGTTTGAAGTTACATAGACTGAATAGGGTTTTTTTAGTGCAAGAAGGAAAGAAAACAAAATATTTTTTTAAATACTAAATTTCCCCTTCCTCCAATCCTTCATAATAAAGGATTTTGTATCACCAACTTTTTTGTTCAATGCAAATTATTGTTAGCACATTACAAGGATATATTTACCACACAAGACTTGAATTTTACTTTAATACTTGAAAACAACTTCTACAGACTTTTAATTAACATTGAAATTAAGTGCCAAGTAAAGGAAACCAAAAAAAAAAAAACACCCCTATAGTAAAAGAAATAATAAAAGAATAAATTTGTCTCCTATAAAAACACATTAAAAATAACTTTTGTAAACCTTTCGTTCCCCGATGGGATCCCATTTCCAAGTTGGATTCCATTTACCAATGGGATCCAGTTCCTATTGGAATCCCGATCCCATTGGGATCCTGACCCAAGTGGTATACTGATCCCAAATGGGATTCCAATCCCATTGGGATGCTGCTCCCAATGGGATCCTGCTTCCAAAATGGATCCCATATCCCCCAATATGGATCCCAAAATGATTGGAATCTCATTTCCAAATGGGATCCCATCCCCATTGTGATCCTGATTGGGATCTCGTTTCCAAATGGGATCCCATATTGGGATCCCATATCCCAATGGAATCTCGACCCTAGTGGGATCCCGACCTAATTGAGACCCCGATGGGATCCCATTTCCAAGTAGGATACCATTTTACATTTTTTTCCTTTTTTGAGTTTGGATCCCGTTTGCCGATAGGAGACCTATTTGATTCCGTCAATCGATGGGATCGCGTTATCGTTGGGTTCCAGTTTACTCATTCACTTTAAGGATCCTCTTCCTCGTTGGGTTTATGTTCCCATTGGGATTTTGTTCCCTGGTAGGATTATGAAGGGTCTGTTAAAAGAAAATATTCATGAAAGTATAGAACTAAACTAACATTTCAATAAGCTTTTAGATTCCATTATATATCCCAATAGAACAGGGGTCTCCAAACAACGGCCCGCGGATCCTTCAGCCCACCGACGATACTTGTATTTGCATGATAAAACGCATGTTTATCCACAGAGAAGGAAAACTTGTTGGATTTTACCGCTGTTAACCTGGTGCTGAGTTTCTGAAAGTTAAGAACTTTGCCGCTGGTATGCCATCAGTGTTTGGAACAACTTGTGTCTGCGAGCAAACATTTTTAAAAATGAATTATGTGAAGTCAACACATCAAACGAGAGTGACTGATAAACATTTGAAAACAATTCTCTTGATTGGATGCACAATTGGAAACTAAACATTGATGAAATCTTGAAAGCCAAACGCCAGTTTCATAAATCTCACGAACCTTTTTTTGCTGCTTATTTTGTGATATTCAAATATGTGCGCATCAGGTCTGATGTAACTATCTTTTTCTCACGTCGCCTTATTTGATCACTTTTTTAGAAAATAAATATGTTGGTTGTCCTTGTTTTTTGTATGTTGCACGCCACTCATTCATGATTAACTTGGAACACTAAACTTAGTTTTTCGCCCTTTTTTTCCCAGAGCTTTCTTTTTGGCTTGCAAGTATTGTACAGAATGATTATCCGGCCCACATTCGTCATTTTTTTGGTTAACCCGGCCAGCCACGAAAAAAGTTTGGAGACCCCAGCAGTAAAACAATATAGAACTTTCTAGAACATTCTAGATTAAAATTAATATCGTCCTCGAAAGGTGTAAAAAAGACTTTTCTAAGTAATTATTTTCGAATAAGACAAATTCTACAACTAAATGCATTACTATAATTACATTTAGGTTGAAAGAGGGGCCCCAGTGGAGTCCATTCCATTATTGTACTGGATTAGTTGGCCTGAGATGGGGGGCCTATAACACTCAGTCAAATAAATAATGTTACTCACTGGCTTCTATTGTGAGAAATTAATCTCTTGTTTTAAGTTATGGCTCGTTCACACAGTGCACAACAAAGGACGATACGATAGAGAAATACAATAATAAAGTTACGACACGCAAAAACAGTTGCCAATTACAATTAGTAATATTTAATTTAGTAATAATACAATTACAAAACAAAAGAAATATAATTACAAATCATCAACTTACACGGTATGTGAAAATCTTGTACCGGTACACAATTGTTAGTACAATGTGCCAATCAATGATGATGAATGATCAATGCGACTAAACACTTATGAGCACACAAAGAATAATACAATTGTCTCGTAAAGTTAATAATATCTATCTGAATCTCTCTCTCTCGGTGTCTGTCAATCCCTTTATGATCGTAGCGTGTGCTAGGAATCTAATTTGCGTCAAGCAAAGTTCACGCACGGGGGAAAAGTGTAATAAATAACAATAATAAAGTTAAAATTTAAAGTTGCCCAATTAAAATTGTTTTAAAATTGCCATAGATATAGCTTTTTAAATTATGGAATTTTCTGGAAAAGTCTAGATTAGATATTCTTAGTTCTAAATCCACCGATATTTCAATACAGACTATGAAGGGTAATGAACAAAGCTAGGCCAAGATCCATCAATTTACATAGAATCTATAGTGTTGTCTAAGCATATTGATATTTATATAGCTTACATTAGGAAAAATAAAATGAGGCCCCCGGCCCCAGAGAAATGGATATTATGAGTTCAGTATCCTTCGGTATTTGAATATGGATAAAAAAATGTGTATGTCTTCTAAGTTTGGTCAAGATCCATCCATTCGTGTAGGAGCATTTGTTGTTAATTTTTTTTATATAGCAAAAAACTACATTTTTGGCCCCTGGCCCCAAACGGAATGTTAGAAAAAGTTTATATCCCCCTTAAGAGTTTTCTCCGGATAATGATGGATATATTTGCAAAGTTTGGTCAAGATCCATCAATCCATGTAAAAGTCTTTGTGGGACAAACAAATTCACAAACAAATCTTCACTTTAATATATATATATATATATACTAGCCAATGTACCCGGCGTTGCGCGGGATTGCCTTAGGACCCAGATCTTGGTAAGACCCCAATCCCAATGGGAACCCAATCCCATTCTCACCACGATCCCGGCGCAATCCCTGGGTGATCCCGTTCGCGGTGGGATTCCGTTTTCTTGTGGCTCTGGATCCAGGGGGAATCCAGATCCCGGTGGGATCCCAATCCCGGTGGATACTGATGGGGCCTCATTTAATAAAGTACCCTTTTAGTTATGTATGAGATCGGGAGGGGGGGGGGGTGTCTATAAAAATTATTCAGATAACTTATAGAATTAAAATTTGTCCCATTAAAATCGGTTTAAAAATGCCATAGATATCGCTTTTTAAATTATCAAATGTTCTAGAAAATTCTAGTTCGGCTCTGCATGGATTGGATATTCTTAGCTTTAAATCCACCAATATTTCATATATGAAAGAGGAAGTGTATTGATACCAAGCTTAGTCTATATCCATCAATTCACATAGAATCTCCACTGTTCTCTTAGTCTATTGATAAGAAGAATGGATATTATAAGTTCAGTATCATTCGGTATTTGAATATGGATAATAATAATAATAATAAAGTTTATTTGAAAGACACGCTTCATCCCCAAAAGCTCGAAGGGGGGTACAAAGTCAACCATATTAAAAAATGAAATAAAAACAATCTTAAATTTACCACATTTAAAAATTAGATGCAACTATATAAAACTACATACGGGCATACCAAGTCAAAGTCTTTCATCCCGTTTCAACCATAAGCAACACAGGCCAATATACATTAACTGAAAAAGATGGTAGATAGTAGATAGCATCACCCCAGAAGGTGTTTGCGAAATAGATGTGTTTTTAAATCGGTTTTAGAGGACTCCAGTGTCTGGCTGTTTCTGAGAGCGACTGGAAGGGTGTTCCAAATTGTTGGGCCGGCAAATGCAAAAGTGCGCTTTCCGTAAGTCTCAAGGCGAACACACAGTATTGATATTATGTCACTATCGGATAAGAGGAGCTCTCTAGTGGGTACATAAGGCGTCATAAGTACTTTGAGATAAGATGGCGCCAGGTCATGTAAGCAGCAATAGCACAAAGTTGCAATTTTGTACTCTATGCTAGCGTGGACCGGCAGCCAGTGAAACTCTCTCAGAAGTGTTTTAGCATGCTCGAGTATATGTGTACCAAGTTTGGTCAAGATCCATTAATTGATGTAGGAGTGCTAAGTTTATTGATATTTATATAGCTTATTTAAGGAAAAATGAAATGGGGCCCCAGAGGAATGGATATTATGAGTTCAATACCCTTTGATATGTTAATATGGATAATAAAGTGTATGTGTACTAAGTTTGGTAAAGATCCATCCATTCATGTAGGAGTATTTTTTAGTAATTTTATTATATAGCTCATATAAGAAAAAAACTACATTTTGGGCCCCCAGCCCCAAACGGAATGTTATGAAAAGTTCCGGATGATGATGGATATATGTGCCAAGTTTGGTCAAGATCCATGTAAAAGCCTTTGTGGAACAAACCCACAAACAAACTTTCACTTTTATATATATGATATGATAAGATATGATGATATGATATGATATATATACATAAATGTATTCAGCTAATTTTTTTTTTTTATATTAATAACATTCTATTACGTAAAACTACTGAAATATATTCAGAGACAGCACCAAAAAGGGTTAAAAGTGGTCCCTGCCCCTAGTTTGATTAATAAGTTGGTTCCATCTTAATTTTAGTCAAGTGGTGTTTAAGGTGAAGTCATTTGTAAACCATATTCCAAAGAAAATTTTTAAGCGACCATATTTTTTTACTAAGCTTAAACTAGCTTTTAAATATATATTTTTTTACAATGGGGAAAACATATCATTTTAGCCTAGTACATGGAAGTAAAAAGAATAGCTTTCTTTAACTAGAATTCAAAATAAATACAGGATAATACTATTATGGTCTCACATTTGAACTTTCATAAATTAAAAACAAAATTGTTAAAATGGCCATCTTTGTTCTCTTACAGCCTCAAAACATATTGTTGACTAAACCATTTCCCGAAGGAGAAATAAAAATTTGTGACTTGGGCTTTGCATGTTTAACAAATACAGGAGAAGATATTCGAGATATAATTGGAACACCAGATTATGTTGGTGAGTCATGTTCCCTCTAAGCAACTGGCGTTCAAATTGTTGGCAGTGTTAAAAAAATCAGTGCCCAAAATAAATTTTATGTTGATAATAAAAAAAAAATACTATGCTGTTAATTTCAATTTTCATTATCATTGATTGAAAGTCAGTTTGAAGATGTAATAGTTACATAATTTGCATTAGATCTACATCATCTTTTCAATCTAAACAAATTATATTTAAAATTGATTCTCAAAAAGCAAAAATTGGTGCTCAATTACCCCAAAACATTTAGAGAGTACATTAGTCATTTCATTTTCATTACATATCTTCAAAGTATATTTGCATGATTCATTAAACCCATAATTTTATAATGGGTGATTTTATTGTTAACTGGAGCATCTTATTTCTTTTTTCAGCCCCTGAAGTTTTAGACTATGAGCCTTTGAATATTCAAACAGATATGTGGTCAGTATCTTCTTTAGTGTGCTTTTTATTGCTTCATTTTCTCTGCTAATTATAAATGTTATTATAAATTAAAAGTTTAATGTAAAAGATACCTTATGACAAACATGGAAAAAATAATTCCAGCAAAATCAGTTTTAGAATTCATTTCACAGTAACTTATTGCATATCATTTTATAACGGGTAATTTTGAATAGAATTTTAATAAGGGCTATTACCTAAAGCATTTCTTATAATTTCTTACTTTTTTGTTACTATAGGTTCAGAGACGTATTTTTAACAAAATGAAGGCTATTCAGAGTATAATTTTTCCTCTCTTTCTATTTTTATTTTCTTAATGTGCTCAAAATTTGTATATTCTGTAGATCTTTTTGATGAAATTTTTACATTAATTTCTTGACATTTTCATAACTTTTTGATGTGTGTTGGACATTTTAAATTATTAAACTTAATGCTATCATTAAAAAGACATTACTGTAGAACGCTAAAAAAATTAACAAAGAAAAACTACTATAGATACTCATTCTATAGCCTGTTGGTTCATGAGCCAACCCCCCCCCCCCCCCCCCCCCCTAGTTTTGAAGTGAAAAAGCCTAAAAAGTGATAATATGCCGGTGTAAGCAATACAGTACAAAATAATATCTAGTGGTAAAATGGCTGAAGTGTGTGAATTGAAACTTGTTGTTGACATCAAATATTGTAAAATATGACAATAAAACTAAATATGATGAGTATATATAGAGTAGATAATAAATTACAGGACATAAGTTAGGATTTAACCTCCTATAATTAAACATCTTTCTTATAATTAAAAAAAATTTAATCGATCAATGCAGGAGCTTGGGAGTGCTCACATATGTAATGTTGACTGCCTGCTCTCCTTTTGCTGGTGAATCACAGCAGGAGACATTCTGTAATATAACCCAAGTCAAGCTGGATTTTCCTGATGATTTGTTTGCTGATATAAACTCTCTGGCAAAAGATTTCATTGAAAAACTCTTGGTTAAAAAACCACGGTAAATGAATGTTCCAATTTATTTTAATGGGGGGGGGGGGGGATATGTTAATATGTTTGTATTATTTATTATAATTGTGTACTCTATTGTTTTTTGAGTTGAATTTAAATTGTTAATAGTAATTTAATGGCATAGACTTTGTTAAGCTTAGTTCAAACTTATTGAATATTCCAACTTCATTTATTTGTCTCATTTGAATGTGTTTCCATTTCAGTGATCGTTTAACTGCAAGGCAGTGCCTTGACCACCCCTGGTTGAAGGACTTGAAGACTACAATGTCTATAAATGTGCCTAGTCCAGATCATTCAAAAGAGCTGGCCAATGAAATGGTAGTGCCCAGTAACTGGCACATGTCACCTGATCGTAGATCTAGTATATGTTCTATGGATACTATTCCATTGGGGAAAGCACTTTTAGAACTAGATGCTCAGCCCTCTTCTAAATCTCCTGGTGCTGAATTAACTGAAATCAGACTTAGTGAAGAAAAAGAATCTATAAGTAAAACATTATCTTATATAGACATAGACAAACAGACTGACAGAAGCAGTTCAACATCCTTTGAAACTTGTCCAGAAAGTATAGATGAAAATTCAACTTTGACTTCTTCTGAGGTTATCTACATTGAAAAGCTTGAACTCCAAGCTTTTGATGCTGCATTAGCATCCTCCTCAAGTTCTGAAGACACTATTTCAGCTTTTGCCACCAAAATTTCTGAGCAGGCCATCCATGATGAATCAAAAGCTCAGTGTTTAGAAGAAGATTTGCAGACATATCAGATATCAGCTTCAACAAGGTCTATAGCAGAGAACGGAGATTTATATAACACAGATCTGTGTTCATTAAAATATAATGACATGAAAGAAAAAAGTTTAGAACAATTACATTCAGTGTCCTCCATGATGTCTTGCAATTTGTCTGATACTGCTTCAATATCACAAGACAGCAATAAAGAAGAAAACTTTAAGAAAAGAATGTCAATGGAGATCCCAATAAAGAAGGCCAAGTGTATTCAAGATGGCGAGGAGAATCCTGATGCCAAGTCTGAAAATTTGCTTTCAATACCCCGTATTAGCCCAGGTGCACATGTTGAGCCTGAAGTTCAATGCCAAGACCAACCAGGGCAGTCATACAATGGCATTGAAGATTTTAGAAATGCAGTTTGATAAAATATCACTAACCTTGTTAATTTGGCTGTGTTTTACTTTTACTAAATAGCATCAGGGTTTGATCCTTTACTAAAAAAACAAAACAAAAAAAAACCTTAGATTTGTAAAATTTACATTGCTTATACATGTTTTATTAATATCTTTTTTATATTAACACTTTCAGTTTGTGAAAAATCATAGCTAATTAAACTTATCAGCTTGACAAGGTAAAGTTACTGGTAACGTACAACGTAAAAATACTATAAAGTTTCTTTTGAAATGTATTGAAAAACTTTGCAATTATTTACATAGAAAATCTTTAATGATTTACCTAGACATGATTTCTCATAGTTAGTTATAAAGGCCTAGGGCTAATCCCCCTTAAAAATTGTTTGAAATCTATTAAGACACTCAACCATTAGTAATGCAGCTTTCAATCCTTAAAGTTTCTATTTTATTATCAATATATCAACAAAATTATTGCCATCCTCAAATGTAATATTCTTTTAATCATCTTCCAATGGTGAGGTCTCTAACCAGCTTGTATTGTAATACAAATTTGTCTTATTCATTCCATGCTTTTGTTTGATACTTAAGTTAAATAGAATAGGGAACTTCTGCAGGGTAATTACCATAACTATTCAATTTTTCTATTACTGGGTTCTTCATTCCATTAATGTTGGTACTATTAGGTTTATTCTGAATAAGCCATTTTACACAACTTTTTCTTGACCAAATTTTCTCAGCATTATTGTGTTTCATTCACTTTGCAAGGTATTAATTGCTTATAAATGAATGTGTTCCCACTTATTTGAAATGTGTGCTTGATCACCTTGATAAACCTGCATGCTAAAATTAAACTAATGTTAAAATCTGGGCAGTATTCTTTTCATTTAAAAATGATCATAAAAATTTTAACAGTATTAAATATCAACAACCTGAAGACAGTTAAGCATAATTTAAAGCATAAATCTATATATTAAGTAGTAATCTTTGTTGCAATATTAAAGTAAAAACATCTGTATTTTGAAAGTTTTTTCTTTTAATGAAATAATATGGAAATTAGAATAGAAATTGTTGTGTCTTTAATCAAATAATTTTTTAAATGTTATTATAAGATATGTTGTGTACTGGGTGATTTTTAAAGGTTAGGTTATAAATTGAAATGTAAAGAAAAAAAATCTGAATTATTGTTTGGAACTGATGAATACGTTTATTATTATTAATTCCTAATACTTCCCAGAAATATATAAAAAAAACTTGATGTCTGGAATACACCAATTACATCTATGAACTTGGTAACAAATATATGCTACTAAGTGTGGAAACAAAAAAAATCAATGCTCACTTATAAGTTGTAAGTAATTGAAGAGATGTTAAATGACCTTCCCATTTATTGAACTGACTTTATTTTGTACTCAATCTTGTCCAGACATCCTACTTATTGTTTTATGCATAATTAAAGTTTCACACATTATCCTCTCTCTTAACATTGGTTTGGTTGATCAGATAGTGTATTATTTTGTGTGTGCAATATCATTAAGGCATTAATGTCCCTAGATTGCTACTATTCATCATTTAATAGAAAGAAAATAAAAAGTTTTTAATAAATACTTTATAAATTCATATTTTAACCAATGGCTTTACTTTTTAAACAGGGGTTGCATGTTTCAGAACACTAACATTTCCTTCTTCTGAATCTCATGTAGGATTTAGCTATTTTTTTTCTCCAGTTCCCATTACAAACCTGCCTAATTACTTTATTCATCAACATATTCTGCATGAATTATTTGTCCATAAAAGTTTTTTGGACTAAACCATTCACACTCTTTCTATTTTTCTAAAACTTGTGAAATAATGGCCACAACACTACCTACCTTCAGTTTAAGGACAGATGATTTTCTGTAAAGTTAGTATTAATGGTTACATTTCATACATTTTATAGCACATGTTTCATCCTGTTTATATAAAATATAATTTTTCTGCAAAATTGAATCTTTAAATTTAGTGGTTGCCCAGTTGGCACAAAGTCCTGTGGAAATGAAAACATAAAATGGAAATTAAATGAGATTTCTTTCAGTTTTCATATATTTTAAAATCTTTACAACTATGTGTAGGATAAAAATATCTTTTTTCTTTTCAAACATTTTTAGAGAGACAGAATTTATCCCATTTTAACAAGGGTATGTACTTTTGTACATATGTAAATTTTTTAAAGAAATGCCAAATGTAATAATATATACAGTTGTGTTCATAAAAGTTGTTGAAGCTATTGCAGATGTAGCTAAATATTTATAATATCAATATATTTTTTTTCCAATCTGTATTATTTTTTAGCATCAAAGGTTTAAATTGAAAGTCATTAGTTCTTGACCCTTCAAAAAATATTTAACATTTTTTAATAACTGCAAGTTTGAGTAATTTGGCTATTCTCCAACCCACTGAATATTACTATGCATTTTGTATGTTTGTTGATGAAACAGTAACTGCACATTGTAAACATATCCTTCAACACTGCACAATTTTTATTAGAATGTTGTCCATGTCATCTAATATAACTTCACCATGGTGATATATTTTTTTTAATTATTAGTAAGAATGTAAGACTGGTTTAAATGTAAAAGGCATATAGTTTTGCTTTAGAAAAAATGTAATGTTTATGATGTTTTCAAGGCTGCATAGTCACAATCAGATTTTATTTTTTAAATATCTAACTTAGTTCTGAATATGACACTGAACTCTAAGTTGATTATATCAGCTGATTTAATTTACAACCATATCCATGACTGAACCTAGCCTTAATTCATTGAATGAACAAAAGAACTGATAAGAAACCCACTATTGATGTTGTACAAATGTATTTCCATTTGCACATACCAGATTTAGTCCTCATTATTAACAACTAACTTTGAGCAGTGGAGTCAAACATCAGCTTCTAGGTCAGTGCTGTCCAATTCACATGCAGTCCGCAAACTGATTAAATTGCCCATCAGAGCTTGAGCAATTTTTATGCTGTGTCGAAAATAAGATATTTTAGGGTGAAAATATTTTCAACCGGCATTCGTTGATTCAGCACTGGGAAATCATGTAAGAGCACAGGAGAAGTTGTAACATAGAAAAGGGGGAGGTCCCAAAAGCTAAGGGATGGGATTGCTTGATAGGGAGCAGTAATTTATGTTCAGCACGTCAGCAGAGCAACCATTTGGGAACATGGAACATGACATCGAATACTATCTCCTCCTCCTTTTTGTTGTACAGGGGAGGCGTCACAGGGTTTCGGATATAATCACTGTTGGCTTGGGAAAGTTGAATTGGGAAACCAAAAGTACCTTGATCTGTAGCTGTTTGATCTTCTTAAATATGTCCCTGCCTCACCATCAGGACCAAGTTAGATGAATAAGATTGGTGAGCACAGCGAGTTAACAACTGTGCTTCATAGAAAGATAATAATTTAACAGGAAAGTCTTCGGGTCAGAGTAATCTAGAGAGCTGGGGTACTCAAAATGACTGCAGTGGGTAATGTGAACCATTTAGGTTTCCCTGTTATTTAAACTGGTAGTTTAGCCAGGTATGGTAAAGTTTGTGTCCATCCTTTAGTGTTATGATGTTTAAGAAAAGTACCTGGTATTCAGAGATCAGAGTATGAAACGTTCGGCTTCACTGAAAGAAATTTGTTGGCCCATGGAGTCAAAACAAGGTTGGACAGCACTGATCAAGCCCTTACAGCTTGTTTAAATACTCAGTGCATCCACCTTCATTAGCGATTACAAAGATAACCCTTTAAAAGAGTATCCAAGCATTGCGCCTCTACAAGTACAAGGATGAAAGAACATATACTTGAAACTAGATCATGTTTTCACCAGTTCCATTGTTGAAACTTGATTATTCCTCTGTTATGTTATAGTGCCACCCGCTCACACCTACTTACCTCTTTCCCCACCCTCTCCCATAAGGCAAAACTTAATAACATTTCTCTTTATTTCTTTGCTGAAAAAATATCAATCATCATTCATCCATTTAGTGTTAAGCTCTAAAATCTGAAAAGCCCAGGTATAATTCTGTAATGCCTTTAATTTTCCTTATTTAAAATGCCAAGTTTTTCAAATCAGTAATTTCATATAGAACAATAATTCAGTCTACATAATTGCTTCTTTATTGCCTTATCAATAAATTTGATTGCTTTAGTGCAGTAATTTTATTTTTACATTTGATTACATCACATATTTTGGTTAATGTTAACCATCTTCTCCTGTAATCAGCTAATCCACATGAATATGTTTTGTCAATAACTGATTTTCAAATAAACTTTATTATTATTATTATTATTATATATTAAAGGTAATCATAATTGTAAAGGTTTGAATCATTGAAAATGTTACATCTCTTGCTGACACTTGTGTCTTATGTGCCTTATTTATCTTATCATGTAAGCATTACTAATTAGTTGTTAGACAAATTATAAGGAAAAAAAATTGTAAAGAATCTATAAAACTATAAATACCTTATTTGATTCTTTTTGAATTGATTTGAAATTAAAGTGTAAAATATAAAAAATGCATTTAGTTAACATCAGTGGATTTCTAAGTTATAAACCCACCAATTACTCTCTTTTCAGATCAATTATTTTATTAGGACTTCCATTCTGATAAGTAAGTGTGCTGAGAAAAGAATATTTTATTATTGGGAAGCAATCATTACATTAAATTGCACATTATACAATGAATTTGCAAAGATGTACAAAAAATATTATTCCATAATTTTACACAGGTATCTCATCATGACTGCAGACCCCATTTTAATAACTACATTAGAATATTTGTTGTCATAACTGATTAATTGAAATTTCCAATGAACACTAACATTTTGAATCAATGATAAAATGGTACTGAAAATAGTTTTTAAATATTAATGAAAATGTATATCACTTTGTTGCCATTTCACAGGGTAATAGCCTATTAACAAACAAGTCTTAGACTCAAAGATCTGAATATTTGTGTACATTTTGGAAATGTATGTCTTCCCACTGCTGAAACTAAATTGATTGCCTAATTAGCTGAAACTAAATTGATTGCCTAATTAGCTGAAACTAAATTGATTGCCTAATTATGTTTGATGGCTTTGAAGATTTTTCTCAATATTTAATAATGTTTCAGGCTCACTGTCACACTTGAGAAATCACATTATATTTGAGAAATTCTGATGAATTTGCATGTCCATAAACAAAGAAATGTTTATGATGTTTTTATGATTTTATCTTTGCATTAACATTTTAATAAGGTCTCATTTACTGTGAAATACCTTTAAAGGTAGCTGTCCTCTAAATTAACTATATATTATATTCTTGTGAATTTATTTCTACGTCTTCTAATACTGTGCCTTACATTCTTTGTAATGATAATAATTTTAAAAAAATTTTATTTGTTATAAGTTCTATGAGTGGAGTAATTTAGTGGAAATCTGATTAACTATGTTGGTAAAGGTCACCAGTTAGTTATTATTTTTGATAAGGGGCCATCCATATTATATTGAGGGGGGTGTTAATAATGGAAATTTTGTTTACAGGTTCGTATGGCAGGGGTGAAATGGAGGCTTTGGATGGTTTTGGCGGAAAATATGTACATTTATGGCCAAATTCTGCAATAATTATCCCAAAATTCATACAGTCCATAAATAGCCTATTTTAATGTTTAATAAAGCCATCTGTCATGTAGACATTTTTGAAGGCCTTAAAAATATCACTGCAACTTTATGTAATTATCATCATACTGTTGCTTTTTGTTTATTTAAAGTACACTGGCTAGATATCACACAGTAATATTTTAGTCCACCATTTGCTTTTATGTTTCTGTGTGTGTGACATGAGTATTTTGTTTGACTACAATTGTGGCTCCTAAATGTTTTCGATTCTCTGCAAATTGCCTAATCCATATTTTCCCCAGGCACCCGATGTCAAATTTTAACAAGTACAGTTCAAAATAACT